CCTTCACCACAGGAAACTCTCCAAACAGGCGAATTATTACGTCCGGTGACCGGACGTCCAAACACCCAATTCAGACACTCCATGTCATTCAAATATACTGAAATCCAATATATTTTGGTGATGTGGCGTGTCTGGATTGATGTCCGAACGAATCCGAACACCGGACTTAATAATTTGCCCTCCAAGCAAGCACAAATAAATTCAGGCTCACTGAATAACCTAATAAGAATTTAAGAATAATAAATTATTTGACATTAACTCCTACAAACCATATTTATTCTTTAAATAATTTTTATATTTGTATTCATTAATTAATTTTAAGATTTATTCGCACATTTCATTGCATTGGTTTATTTTTTGATCTTAATTATATGAGCCTAAATTTCTTAAGCTGTTTTTAATAAAAAATAATTATTTCAATGCATCAAGATGAGCTTTAAAAATAAGTTCTAACTTATAATTTAACATAATTTCAAGAGCTTTAAAATCCATCAGAATGTGCTTTACATTAAAAAAAAAACTAATATAATTTTTTTCATCTTTAATGATCTCATATTTGATAAGTGCAACTTTCATTATCATTGTAATTATTTTCATTTCATTTGCTTTTAGCATTATAATAAAATTGTAAGTAATCACGCAAAAATTTAAACTAAAGGATAATGCAAAATTTTAAACTAAATGATCAAATCCATGCCTATAAAGATAACTGATTGTTACCATACAATTTACGAGTTAACAAATCAATGGCTGAGATAATTTTATTTTTCTTCATAGACATAAATTAATTATTTTAAAAATATAAAAATATCGCCACGGCAACCGCCCAACATCAATCTTCACTGGCCAGTTCTCGCCTCCGGCCATCACCACCCGCTGCTGCCAACCATCACAACCAATCATCATCGTCTATCTAGCACCTACAACTAATGCCTGTGATCATTAGAAGAAATTATTTTGTGCGGACACCTGATTATCGGGAGATCAACTAGAACACGCCGCATCACCCGATATCGAGCGTACCGAGCACCGATACTAAGCAACAAAATGACATGACACATTCTGATTGCTCTCCGGGTGCCATCCGGGTCCACACAGAATAATTTTTCCATCATAAGCCACTTCTAATCAATTATTATTTCAAATATACTCTCAACCTTCATTTACTTCAAACAAAATTATTGGATTGAATTTAAAAAAAATTATGCATAAAAAAATACACAACAAAATAAGCAGTGTGTACGCACATCCAAACACGTTCGGATTGCGTACACAATAATTTCTCCTAACACACACACACACATATATATATATAAAGAAAAGAAAAGAAGGGAGCAGGGATTTTTTTTTTAAGGCGTCGAAAACTTATGCCACTAATTTTAGATCTAGCCAATAATAGATAAATGGAAGACCCTACGCCATCAATGTTTAATTTGGGCAGCAAGATCTTTTAATTTGAAGACCTCACGCCATTAATCTTTTATATGGGTGAAATTATTATTAATGCAAAGAACCCGCACAATTATATCTTAGATATGTGTGGGTAAAACCAAAGGCAAGTGCCTCCCAACATCCCCTCACGGAGAGGAGATCCTAGGAGGCTGCCGAAGTTTAAATTAATAACGATCACCACATAATAAAAAATAATAATTTAAATTAATAAGTCCCATATAATTAATTAATGACAATTGTAAATAACAATTTTACATTAGCGACCACACACAAGATTTGATACCTAACCTTGAATCGTAAGCAAATGTAAGAGTTTTCATCACACTCTTAGTTATTATGAGCTTAGTTTACTAAATGGGAAAATTTTGGACCCTATGCCTACTATTGTAGATGTATTGAGTGATAATAAGTCATTAGAACAAGTGATAGTTTCTTGTATAAATGAGAGTCGCCATCTCGTAGAAAATTGGAACATCTAAGCTTTATCCGATGTTATAATTACAAGCCAATCAAGGGCATCAACAATTCCTACACTTGAATTTATATGGTAAGGTAATCTTAATGTTCTAATTCCTAGGCTTCGATTGGAAGGAGGGGTTTTACAAATCATGTAAAATGGCAGATATGAATAAATTAAATGAAGCAACCTTCAAGAAATAACATGTGGCCTGTAATCAGCACTACAATTCACCTGTGAGCAACGACAGAGAATTCATAGTGCCCACAATGATTATCCTTAGGGCATGAACAAGTAGCTCGTATTAAACAACCAGTATGTTTAGGAATAGTAGTAGGGAACTTCTAATGAATGTTACAATTTACTTGTGAGCAGAGCAGGGGATTGGCAGTTCAAACAACTAACCTGCAAGCAACAATAAATGATTCATATCAAATTGTGTAACTCATAAGCAAGAACACGATCTCCTAGTGCCTATTGAATAAACATTCCCTACACGCCATCAGATCCATAACACTTATACAAGCGGATAAAAGGCTATATCTTTATAATAGCTGCAATGAATATGCTAAAAACACAACCCACACGTGCTCTGATTGTCACATTTAATTCCTAAAAGCAACGTTTCAAGAATGCTGCACAGGTCATATATTCAAGTTTCATCATCCTCCTTGAAAAGGATTGCAGATGATTTGACTTGAACTATAAGATGCATCCTAAAAATCTATATAATATATATATTTCAAATGAAAATCGTGTTATCCCCAAAGATGTACGTGTTGAATGATAATCTCAACTTGAGGGGAATACATTTTTCAAAATACTTAAATCCCAATACAAAATGCAATATATTTAAAGTGACTTTAACGTTACCCTAATGATGGTCGTGTTAAAAGCTAACCTCAACTGGATGAGATCCTAAATATTTAAAATGTATCTCGAATTCCTATGAAAAATACAAATAACTTTGACGCACCCCAATGATGGCCCTGTTGACAAAAAAACCTCAACCGGAGGAGACCTTAAAATTTAAAGATGCATCCCAAATTCCTATAAAAATACATAAATTTAAAGTGACTTTAACGTCACATCGATCATTGCAATGTTGAAAGTTAATATCAACTAGATGGGTCAATTCTTAAAAGATTATAAAAACATCAAAATCTAATTGCTAAAACTTAAAATAAAAACTCATCCACCTTCCGCAACCATTTGTAGGGTGGTAAATTTGAAATTAAACTCAGCTTACAAAGAGCGAATGTCACGTCGGGTGTATCACTAAGATTCATCCTCAAATAGTCTATTGACAGTAGGGATGTGGCACGTGCCCTCTGATCGGATGATTTTGTCATAAATTGCACCATTATATTACGATAATGGCCAAAACTCGTATGTTCCCTAATGATGTCAAATCCTTGAGTAATGAATCATAAGATAAATTCGATAGACACAAAACCCTTTTTGTCAGCTTAGGTGGATTTAAATGTATCCCCTTAGACAAATTCCACCCAAGGTCTACAAGGCATTATCAGACGAAGCAACCCATGGCTGTTGATAAGGTGCATTTTGTTAGGTTGGGTCGACTACCTCCTCTGAGGGACCACGATAGCCCTGGACGACGGAACCATAAGATCTTGATCGGACTTATCTTCATTCCCCCATCACCTGCTTTAATTATCTAGTGATAAATTTAAAAATCATAAACTTTGAAATCCCAAATCAAATTCAAATCCTGAATTTGTTGTTATTATATGCTAGGCTTACGACCTACTTAACAAGCCTTAATTGAAAGCTCTCTCTCATTATCGGGAGAATAATTAAATATAGAGACTTGCGCCTATAAGAAACCAGAACTAAGATAATAAAGTTATCACAAAATGAGGGCAAAATCTCTGGGGAGTGTCTTATCCAAAACATAATCTGTCTTCTAAAAATTTACTCATAAACCTGAACTTGTTAAAACTCTCCTCACCAATATAAACACAAAGAAAGAGCTTACACGGAGAGACCGGGGGTGCGAAATTTTTTGAAGCTCACAACACCATCTCAAATAAAATTATTCTAACCACCAAAGAGTATTCTCCACACCATTACCCTTTCACTATAATAAGCTGAAGCCTTGTATTTCCCCTCCGAGAGCCACATTATTATGATATGAATAGATTCCTATTGATCATGTTTTATTTACATTTTTATGTCTTAATGAACTTAAAAATATTAATATGAGGTTTGCCATAATCCTCAGATTGAGACATTCAATTCGACTAATAAGTACACAAACTTCGGAGTCCGCTTATTCTAAAATAGCTATAAGAAAATTTAATTATGATTACAAGTAATCGATTTAGGTCCAAATTAAACTCAAAGTACAATTGCTTCTACGAAACCTCCTTTCCTTGTGTGTTAAGTTGGCGGCAAATTATTGCATATGGTCATCGGACGCGGAGAATAGGTTCGGACATTCAATAAAAAATTGCCACATCAATTGTGCTTTGACTGCGTTTAGGGTGCGCTTTACCTGCGCTTTTGACTGTGCTTTAAGTATGCTTTGACTGAAATTTATCTATACTTTATCTGTGCTATATTTATGCTTTATTTAAAATAATATTTTATTAATATCAGTAAATATTTCCGCCTCCCTCACAGGAACAATTATTACGTCCTCCGACCGGATGCAGAGGAACGTCCGGTCGGAGGCCAAATCCCGCCAAAAAAACGAGTTGTAGCGAGCAAATACCGAGCAATACCAAACAATAACGAGGAATACCATCATTTGAAGACCCAATACCAAGTTATACCGAGCTAAATCAAGAAATACCGAGTTATACAAAAAGTTGTACCGACGGTACAACTCGGTATTTCTCGGTACAGCTCGGTATAACTCGGTATTGGTCTTCAAAGAGCGGTATTACTCGTTAATATCAAATAGTACCTAGTTGTACCAAATAAATATCGAATTTTTTGACGGAATTTTACCTCCAATCAGACGTTCCTCTACGTCCTTACACCGGACTTAATAAAAGTTCCCCTAGAACCAAGAACTAGGATGCAATAATTTGCCATAGTTGGCGTAGGCAACTTTGTACTCTAAAGCCCATGCCGTTTTTTGATTAGGTTGGTCGGTTCCACAAAAGCCACTAGGACTTATCCCTCTCTCCTCCATGGCATCGACAGTGGCGGCAACGACCTCCGTCTTTGCCCGCTCCTCGACTGCTCTCAATCCCAATCGTGTCCATCTCCGCTTCTTTGCTCCTCGTCCATGCCGCCCTCTTGGGCGGTTTCGCTTTCTCCCCATCAGAGCTCTCTCCTCTCCCAACGGCTTCTTCAACCCCATTGAGGTCTGCGTCAAGGAATCGGTTACAGTTCCCGGAAAGCTCGGTGACTGTGAGCTATGACCTTACCCTTGCTCTCTTTCTTTCTCTATTTTGTGAAAAAAATTGCTTATGAATTTTGGTGTTGAAGAATATGAGAATGCCAATGATTCCTATTGGGCTTGTTGATATGGTTTCTGTTGATTGATCTAAAGGGAATAAAATATGAAAACAGCTATTATTTTTTATGATGAGTGGATTTTAGTGTGATCAGACCAATCTCCTCAATTCTCGATCCGCACCTGACCACTAAAGTGTGGAGCGGGTTACCGGGGACACTCCTATAGGGACAGCTGGCTGTAACATTTGAGGTTGTAACGAGAAGAATGTTAACGCAGATATAGAGCAGGTTACCGGGGAAACTCCTATTGTGAAATATTTCCTTCTCCTTGCTCCAAATTTCTTTGCCGACCCCACTGTTTGATTAAATAGCTAATCTGACATAGCATTGAGATTGCTCGGCTGATAAAACCATCTTATTTTCAGCTTATCCTTTCAGTAGCCTATTTTACCATCACCTTGTTATTTGGTGTTGGCCAATGAATGTAGTTGATGTATTATAAGTTCTTAGTGACAGAAAGAAGAAAAAAATTCATTTCTTCCACTAATATTGGCGCTTTCATCTTATAGACCTCATGTCTATCATGCTTAATTTAGATATTGACAACTTTTTAATTGTCAACACTGATATCATTTTATCTTCTAATAAAATTGATTTATAATTGTTAATATCACACTCACTAAAATTGCATATCATATACCCATGCCTTCATTCTACTAATTCCATGTTTTCTATCATTATCATCTAAACATTGCCTCCATTCTTTTAGTTTATTTATTTATTTTATAAATGCCTAACATATTAGAATCATATCATTTACAAAAAGCATGCACGACATCTTATTTTGAATATTCTTTATAAACATTTTCATAATGCATATAACAATAAATGAACTTGAAGTTGATTGTCAATGTACATCTATTTTAATTAATTATTTCCATTACTAGTTACAAAAGATACCTATTGAAGAAATTGTTTTTATTGGAGGAGATTTAACTGGACACGTTGGTGGAGAGGTAGATGATTTTAAAAGTATTCATGGGGGGCCATGGTTTTGGAACGACAAATGTAGGTGGCAAGACCGTATTAGGTTTTTGTTTAGCTTATGACTTTTCAATTGCTAATGTCTTATTTAAGAAAAGGAATGAACATCTCATCGCTTATAAAAATGGATATAGTACAACCCAGATTGACTATTTTCTTATATGAAAGTTAGATTATTTAGATTACAAAGATTGTAAAGTTATTCTAAGTGAAAATTTATGTACTCAACATAAGAGAAAATTCTATAATATGGTGGTTAAACTTGCAATGCTTTATGGTGCTAAATCTTAGCCATTAAAAGAGAAGCATAATATTAAGGTAAGTGTTGCAGAGATGAGGATGCTCAAGTGGATGAGTGACTTTACTATTAGAGAAAGGATATGAAATGAGCATATACGTGAAAAGGTTAGAGTAGCTCTGGTGGATGATAAGATTAGTGAGAGTCGCCTTAGATGGTTTGATCACATAAAATGACAGTCTTTCAATGACCCAGTTAGGAACGTAGATGTATTAGATTTGACTTATGTTAAAAAAGGTAGAGGTAGACCTAAAAAGACTTGGTTAGAAAATATTAGAAATGATATTTTTATGTTAGATTTAAATGATAATTTAACTTTTTACAGGGCACAATAGAGAAAAAGGATTCATGTAGCTGACCCCACATAGTGAGATAAATACTTGATGTTGTACTAGTTAGTACTCCATAATATTTTTATCAACATATCTTTGGCAAACATCATTTTTTTTTTATGTGCACTGAATTGATTCTCATGATATTACATCATATGTTTGCTCAAGATCAATTAACATCATATGAAGAGCATTATCTCGCTCCATATACTTTTCATCAACCGCTTGATCACAAAAACATCTTCTTTAAATTAAACTTAAACTGTTTCATCTAATTGATATAATTTTATTAAGCTCATGCTATATTACTTTCTCCCATAGCTTCATTGTATTACTCATAAATTTGATTGCTCTTTGTTCTAACATTATCTTAAACATCATTTTTATTATCAAGATTGGTACCAAAATGCTTCCTCTCTAATAATTCAGTATTCTTGTAGTTTTCAAAATTCTATTGAAATGATTTACTATCAAATCCACGCGATATCCTCCATAATTCAAAATATAAACAAGTTCCGCATTTGGATCTGTAGTCTTAACTTCATGCAGCTTCTTATTTTTTTTTTTGAATCAACTGATAATATACTTCAATTTATTATTTACTATAATCTTCCATTGTAATTTCTTCTTTAAAACTCTTATTCAATAAATTTTCAAAATAGCATTTTCATTTTTCTTATACTTTTATCTTTAAACATGATCCAAAATAGTGTTTTTTTGGGCTAGCACTGTATTTACGTTTTGAATTCGAAGTGAAGAATGAAGTGAATGATAATTATGAGTTGAATTGCGTTTTTGTGTAGGGCAAAAAGTTTCTGTTTCCTGTTGAACTGTTTAAATTATTGATGTGTTTTTTTGAATGTTGAACTTTTTTAATAAATTTTGTCGTGCTCAATATTGTCATTATTGAGGGAATGAATAGTTGGTTTCTGTAAAATTTCAGGCCCCTTTTCACAGAGGGTTCTGTTGACTCTTGAGGAGAAAAATCTACCTTATGACATTAAGCTAGCTAATCTTGCTAATAAGCCAGAATGGTAATTTTATTCTTTATTTCACTGGAATCTTAAGCTTTACGCTTTTTTGAGACTCAACAGCTCTAGATTTGTTTATCTTATTGTGACTTATACTACAGGTTTCTAAAAATTAGTCCTGAAGGTAAAGTTCCCGTTGCTAAACTTGATGACAAGTGGATTGCTGATTCTGATATTATCACGCAATTAATTGAAGAGAAATGTCCTGAGCCACCTTTGGCCGCTCCTCCTGAGAAGTCTTCAGTGTATATTACTTGTATCTTAAAATAGATCCGTGATTGTATTTGTTGTTTGTCTTACTGATTAACAGACAGGATTAGTCATGGAGACTAAACAATTAGTTCATTCATCTCTATTCTTAGAAGTTTTTTCATTTTTCGGTTCATCAAGAATTGTGGAACAATACAACTCTTAATATTTTCTATATTTTCTGGCTGGGTGAAATGAGCTATTTTTGGTGATCCACATTACCAAAAAATGGCATGGGTATTTTTTTAAGTTTTGATTGTCTCTAGCATCCAATCTTGATTCACATGGAGTTAAATTCTTGTTAAAGGATTTGGCTTCAGAGTTTGGACTCGATTTAAGTAGAGTTACAGTTGAATTGCCTTTTTAGCTTCTATTAGTTGGGCATTAACAGTTTAGAAGCTGCTGGATCTGTCTTCTTAAACTCGTATGTTTGGCCTCTAGTGATTTCCAGTTTGCACTTCCTCTTGTCGGGTCAACAAAAAAACACTCCATATTCATTTTGATCTGTTATATATCACTTTCATTTTACTGCTCAGTAATCATAAAGTAATACTCACGGTAATCTACAGCAGAAGATGACTTTTTAGTACAAAGGATAGGCTGAATTGATAATGCATAGGTCTAGCTCTTTCAACATTTCTGATGTCTTATTCGAATTTACTTTCCCTTGTTAAGATCGGATTCAAATTACAAATGTTCTTTAAATTATTTTGCACATGGAAGCTGAGAGAAAAAGCATTAAAACTTATGAAGTATTGCAGTGCATATCTTTTGATCCATATTTCGCTGGAATGCTCTTGATTTATTCACTAGAAATGATTTTTTCCATCATTAGTTTCTCCTTGGTGTATGCCTTTCTTGCATATATTCTTTTTATATGATTTTTATTTTTTTGAGCTTTATACGTGTCAAAGGTCAATTGCTGATTAACTAAATGCTCAGTTAATTTTGTTATTTTGAGATGCATGCTTAAAAAAATTGTTTCATTTGTATACTTAATATATATTTATCAATATGCTATTCTTCACCTTGCAGTGGTTCAAAAATATTCTCAGCCTTTATTGCTTTTCTTAAAAGCAAAGACCCCAATGATGGGACAGAGCAAGCTTTGCTTACAGAGCTGACAGCGATTAATGAGTATCTAAAAGAAAATGTGAGTAGTTCTATTTTGGTCATAGTAGTATATTTCCCTTCTCATGACAACTTGTGAGCTTTGTATTTATTATGCTCTATATTCAAGTTGAAGTAGGGGACTATGATACGCCAGGAGGGCCCAGGAAAAGCTATTTAGAAGGTTCTTAATCAAGGGGAGTTGTTAGGAAGGTTTCCTAAATTATGCTTAATTTATTTAGGAAGGTTTCTTAAATTATGTTGAATTATTTAGAAATATTTTTTAAATTATGTTTAATTATTTAGGAATGTTTCCTAAATTATGTTTAATTTATTTAGGAAGATTTCCTAAATCATGTTTAATTATTTAGGAATGTTTCCTAAATATGTTTAATTGTTTAGGAAGTTTTTAAATTATATTTAAATTGTTTAGGAATGTTCTATTTATATTATTTTGCTCTAAGGCTATTTAAGAGGGAGTTGTCTAGGATTTTAGGGCATGCTATTGATGAGTTTTGTGAGTGTTTGCTGTCCACTATTTTTGTGAGGGATTCTAGCGGCATCTAGAATTTGGGAGAGAAGTCCCTCTCGAAAGAGGACTATTGTATCTTGCTTGTTCGTATTTATTTTCATATCAATAAAAAATATATTAGTTTGCTAAAATTTACTGTTTGTTTGCTGATTTTTGGTGTTCAAGTCGCATCAAATTGGTATCAGAACGGTGTCTTGGACCGAAATATCAATCTTTTCTCGCTGATTTTTGCTGAGTTTTTCCTCTCTGTTTGCTGAATTTTGTTGTTTGGAGGTCAGATTCGCGTCGAAGTTGCCGATTTTTGTTGTTAAAGCATTGATCCGAGTACCGATGGCCAGAAGAAGAGTTGAGGCGTTGGAAGAAGAGTTGAGGCATTGGAAGAAAAGTTGCAAGGGGAAGCACGACAACTACGAGTGGATATGGGATCGATGAATGAACGTATTTCAGTGGAGGTGGTGGAGTGATCAACTACTATGGGAAGCTTTTTGGGTAAGGGGAGTGGACGATCGGAGGAGGGGGATGGGCTGAGTCATGGGGATCAGGTCATGTGAGGCAGATGGAAAAAAAGTGGGAGTTCCACCCTCGATACACGGGGGAAACATGAAGGGTTCATGACAACCGCTACACTGGAGGAGGAAGAAGCTGTTGGGGTGATGGCGATTCTAAGGTGAGAAAGTTGAAAATGCAAATAATCAAGGAGAAGAAGAGTGAGAGTTCAATAAGTGATACACAAGCTTCTCTCAAGGATAAACTGATCGTCAAAGAGAAAAATGTAAATGAAGAGGGCAAAGAAATAAACTTGCAAAATGTGATTGTGCTGATAAGGAAATCTACGGCATCAAATTACTTGGAGGTTGGAGCAGTAAAGATTGGTGAAGGTGAGCCAAAAAATCAAAACCATTCAGTTGTCTTTACCAGAGGGGAGGCTCTTCAGGCAATTGATATGAACTAGGATAACTATTTGGAAGAGGCTTTGAAAATGAGGAATCTTTTGGAGGAATTCAATGAAGATCATGGACTTCGCCCACCAACTATTCTTGGTGCACGAGAGCACATTTTTACGATAAGTATATCATCTGTGGGATGGTTCATGTCAAACCAAGAAATAAGTTTTGTGACAATTAGACAAAGGGTTCTGGCTACTCCACTGAAGGTCCGCTTCCAATACGGGCATCTAGATGTATCTGACAGGAATTTTTACATCATTAGATGTGGCATAAGCAAGGGTTCTCGTGGAATTAACCTAAGTAAGGATATCTTTGCAAGTTTCAATTCGACATTGAGGCAAGGAAATATCACCCACCATGATTATATTCAAGTTGGGAAGGGTCGTGATGTTGGACTCAACCAAATCTCCCTATTTGAAGCAAATGTTGCATGTAGCAATAGAGAATAAATACTTAGTAGAGATATCTATCGCTTGGGCCACCAGGTTAACTTGTTCCACATGCTTTCTTACTACTTCACAATTGTAGGGTTCTATATCAGCTCAATGATGGTTGGTATCATAATCTACCTTTTCCTCTATGGCAAGTCTTACCTGCCTTTAAGTGGGCTTGAGGTTGCCATTATGAAGCAGGTACTGATGAGAGGAAATAATCCTTTGAAGGTTGCTATGGCATCTCAATCTACCGTCCATCTTAGTCTATTGATGGCCTTACCCAGGGATGATTTTGAAAGAGAAGGGGGCTACTAGGAGGGAAAAAGCAAGTGGCTGTTTTGGGATTTTATTATGAAAATTGTATGCTTTAAATAGATTGTTCCTAGGGTTCAGTTTTTTTTCTTCGTGCTTGTGTTTGCTGAAATTAGGATTTCTTAGGTTGTGAGGGCTCTAGCTGGCGGGCATTTGAGAGAACCGGATCTTCTTCTCCAATTGTATCTTGTTATTTTCATTCATATTTCTTGCAATAAAAAAATTCGTAGCGTGGCGTGTTCTTCTTCCCAAATTCTTCTTGCGGTTTGTTGATTTGATGGAAATTGCATCTACTTCCTATTAATTACATTAGAAATTCAATCATCAAATGGTAGATTGTTAGTTGTGGAGTTTCATTTCCCTCAGCAACTTTGATCTCAAAGTTTTGGATAAAATCTGATTTTCTAATATTGACGGCTAATACACTTAATATCCTATTTACACCAGATCCTTCATATATAATACCACATGTGCTTTTTAGAGGGAGAATAAATCAATTGTTTCAAAGCATCAGTCATTCTTCTCCTTCTTTAACCAAGTGTAGAAGCTGTGGTTGTAACTATGACTGATTAACTGATTACAGATTGATGGTTATTTAGTCGGTGTCATATAAAGAGATTTCACTATTGGGTGCTCGCTAATGATAATTGAATGGTCTGAGGCGATAGTTGAAAGCCAGACACCTTGATAGGAAAGGAAAAAACCATCATTGGGGCTAGTGACCGTCAATTTGGTCCGATATATATGGGTCTGCAGATTTCTCTCTATCATGATGATCATAGTTGATGGAGGAATCATGCTTAAGTCTGGAAAGGGAATATGAGAGAGAACACAAGACATATAAAAATGAAAAAAAAAGAGTAAATAAAATTTTCTTGCTTTTTAATATATGGATTAGTGGATTTTATATCTCTATGCGGCTGCAGATGAAGTTGTATCACACTAAACCATGCAAAATCTCTTATGTTCTTTTCCTTGTGTTCTCTTTGCAGACTAATTTTCCCATGTGATCACCATTTCTCTCAAACACACATTTTTCCCCTATTCAAAGTAGGGTCAATATCAACGTCAAAATGCAAATATAAAACACATTTTATTCTAAATTGTTTTCATATGTAAAATTTTTGATGACTTGGTAGGCAAGAACATTTTGTTCTGTTAGTTCTGTATTAAAAATGTGCCAAAATATATAAATTAGATCACCGATTTCCTTGAAAGTTTACATTACTGTTACAATTATTTATTGTATAACCATTTTTATTTTAAAACAAACATTTATTTCATGCAAATGATAAACGTATAATACAATTATGATGATGATACCCTTTGTATGCGAGCAAGAAGTTTGACTGACATGCAAAAACCTGTATTAGCTTTTGTTTTAAACAAGAACATGTATGAGCTTAAAATACATATGCATGTCTACCTTTTAAGCATGTTAAATTCTATTGGAAAAATTATATCAGCTTTGCCTCTATATCACCTTATCCTGTTTTTGTTCCATGTGCTTTCTAAACTAATTTTGTTTGGTTAGGGTCCTTTTGTGAATGGTGAAAAAATTTCGGCAATTGATTTGTCCCTTGGACCTAAGCTATACCATTTGGAGATAGTTCTTGACTATTACAAAAGTTGGTCGGTTCCTGAATCTCTTACATTTGTCAGGAATTATATGGAAGTAAGTCGAGTATTAAAACTTTTGAGCTCTGGTATTTCTCATAGTTCCTTGTTTATATCATTTTAAAATTTCTCTTTACTTGGGTGACATCATGGTTTGATATAATTGATTACCGTATGTATATAGATTATTTTTCATTAAGAGTCTTACTAGCTCCCGATGTCATTAGTGTTTCATGATCTAACGATCACTTTTGAGAAGTTATACAACTGGTGGATTATGATTATTTATGACATAGAAGACAATCCCAGCGCATCACTAAATCTCATGCAAGTTTGACTTTAAAAGTATAATTAATTTTTTATTTGTTTTAGCTTTTATTTGAACTCTTTGGTAGAATAGAGCAATTAATTAAGTATTATTGTATTTTCTGTTACTACCGTCATATATTATTTAATAGTTTTGTCTTCTTTTGGATTTCTTATGCTTTATTTATTTCTTTCTTTTTTACTAGTTAATATGATTGATTAAAAACTGATGTTGGATGGGAAAGACAATAAGTTTGGTAATCTAACTTAGACAAGGCGATATTCTTTTTATCTTTATTTTTTTATGGCTAGGTTTGATGTAAGATGGCTTAGGATTTAGGGTTTCTAATGTAGAACTATTATAAGATACAAAAAACCATGATGTATGTATGCAAAATTTACAGATCTAAACCCCAAATTTTAGCAATAACTTTTTACTTCTGATGAAAATTGAAAATATGATAAAAATCAATGCAAATAATAAATCATGAATTTTCCAGTAGAAACAATTTCTAAAAATTCATAGTCAAGGCATGTAACTAATTGAAATTTTCACTCTCGCAAACTTGAGTAAATTAATCATGCATTCAATCCAAGACTATGATGCACATACAAGGACACGACAACATGGACACGACACGAATAAGAGACACATCAATTATTAAAATAGATGACATGACACACCTTGGACAAGGTATTGTAATTTTTCTATCTTAAAAATATTGTATAGACATTGAATAAATAATATTAAGAATAATTGAGAAATAATAAATCATTTAACTGGGATTTGTGCTTAAAATAATTAATATTAGTATGTTAAGAGTTAGACATTGATGTTGTGTATCAAGCATCAAGATGGGGGACGACAATGATATTATTAGTCGGACATCGAGCATCGATGTTGAGACGACGTTGGTCAACTACGTTGAGACGATGTTGGGCAAATATGAGATGTCAAGTCGGCACGAGGGGGTGATTGTGGGTGTAGAAATTGTTGGGGTCAAACTTTGCTTTGAGATGGTTTTGAAATATTGATGTTGTGACGGCGACGGACATCGATGTTGCGAAGACATTGGTCGTTATTGTGAAATCTTAGCCGCGATTTGCTGGAGAGAAATGACAACGGGAATTTTCGGGGAGTATGGGGTATTACGTGCAAGCAATTGATTTGGGATTGTTGAGAGGAAATAGAAATTTAATTTTATTTTTTATTAAATAAAAAATTGAAATATAAGAAATTCTATTAAAAAAAATTTATAAAATATTTTAGACATGCGTGTTGGACACGCGTCTCTAATTTATGTTAAATATATTTTTAACCTGACATGTCTTTGGTGTGTTCAATACGTATTGGACGTGCGTCAGACTCACGTCGTGTCTGATATGTGTTCGAGAACTCTTTGAGGAGAAGTGTCGGTGCATCATAGATCCAAAAACAAAATTTAGAGAAAGGAAATAAAATATAATGAAAGAAGCCACTAAAATCAGGAAAATCAAGCCTCATTTCCTCTCATGCAAATCTCACGTTTGATAAAACTAAGACTTCAAAAGGAAAAAATTGATTTGCACAACATTACAAAGTCTCATTAAGCCATAAACTTTATTTGTCCATGGAGCCAACTTGAAATCTGGCAGGTAGAATTTATTCTTGTTATAGAATCGTTAAATAGGGTTGCAGACTTTCTATTTCCAGCAACACATTCGATAGAATGTATAATGCTCTAGGAGAAAGATATTAAGAAGTTTTGCAAGTCCAGTTATTTATATTAGTTTTGGAAATCCTAATCCAGCTTACAACAATTGAGCTAATGTGCTGTACATTAAAAACTGAATCTAATTGACTAGTTTGACCAGTTCAATCGTAAACCGGTCTTTTTCTAGTTCAGTCTAGCTCAAAAACCGCTTATGTGCAAAACCGGCTGGAACCAACCAAACTGATGGTTGAACCGGAGAATAGATGACGTTGTCTGATTTTTGATGAACCGGTCAATTCTAATATAGATGAATTTTTGTCTTTTTGATTTTGATCAAATGACTATAATAAAAAGATTAGAAGTTCCAACAAGATCTTTCTCTGATTTATATTTTTTAAACTTTTAAGTTGAATGATGGTATTATTTGAAGTTGAATATCTTATAAATTATTAAAATCTTATTTTAAAAATTGATTTTGAAATATAATCAAAATATTTAATGGTGAAGCCCTGTGACCCATGCATCGTACCCAAAACACTTTTATCGACATGACCAGATGGGCTACCTTCATTGTTAGGGTTGATTTGATTTGAAAGCACTACTGAATATATATATATATATATATAAACTTTAACTCAAAACAATTCCAAAATAATACACATGTTGATCCATTTGTTGACTTGGTCAACTGTGATGATAAAAAAGATAAATAAATATGGTTGACAAAAGATTGACTCCAAATGTGCTATATATATTGTCAACATCGCCAAATTGGCTACCTTGATACATTCATAATACTAAAATGCTATAGGTAGCTTCTCTTCCCTGTGTTGCTATGCTTGAGAAAAAAATAAATTTATAAGAGAGTTTACACACACAATCTCAATGAAAATCGAGAGTTATGATATCTTATAATATTATTAACTAAGGAAAGAAAAAAGGAAAAAAATTGCATAGTGGTGGCAATTTTCTTACCTTATATTTCTCGAAATTGGGGAGCTGAGGCACTCCATGCACCATTTTCGGGGGCCATGATGGAACCCCTTATTTTAAGAAAAAAATGATTAAATGGATGGATCTAATAGCACCCTTAGGTGTCTGAATCTCATATGAAAATATGAATAAAAATAAATGAATAAGACCAAAAACTCATGCTAATTGTACAAGAAACCATCGTGTAGTCTTCTATTTGACAATTTACTCGCACATGTGCACTTGCCAACTCGCTAGCGCGATCACTTAGGTGTACTTGCCAACTCGCTAGCGTACCTCTAGGCTGCTTGCATAGTCGCAATATTTACTTGGCTACTTGATCATGTGCACTCGATTACTTGGCTACAAAATATTGAATGCTACAATCCTGTATGATGAGTATGATAATTTCTAATTTTAAGTGAAGGGGAACCTCATTACAAATATACCTCCAAAATTAAGAAACAAATGCTAAAGATAATATTTCGCCCTAATGATGTGTTCAATTATCATAAAATTATAATTGGAGCCATTTTGTAAAATTATAACTATCACACCGTATCTTAAATGAATTGAAATATATATTTTGATTCTTCACTTAAGATGACGAGTTTGGTTATTACCTATTATAACTTGAGAGGTTCATAGGGAATCTTATCATAAAAATAGCCCCTTTAAATTTGAGGAAAACTACATTTTAATCTCGTCTCGATGATAGGCATAACAAAAAAAATCATAATCAAAGTAGATGTATTAGATCCAGCCTATGTTAAGAAAGGCAGAGATAGACTTAAAAAGACTTGGTTAAGAATATTAAAAATGAACTTTTTTTTATTGAATTTAAATGAGAATTTGACTCTAAATTGGACAAATGAAGAAAAATGATTCATATAGTCGACCTCACGTAGTAGGATAAATGCTTGTGGTTGTTATATATATATATGATTTGAAATTCAGGTTGCTTTCTGCTAAGAGTGGCCATCCTTTGAGCCAAGTTCTTAAAGGGGTAATATCATATCAATTATATCCATATTTCATATTAAAAAATCTCATGTTAGTAAAGACATGACAAACGTCTTTTGTATCATGTGGTCATGCTGAAAGCATGCTCTTGAAACAAAAAGCTTGAATGAAGGGTTATTTAAAATCTTTCCCCAATGGCTAAGCTCACTTGCATGAAGTTTTCCTTTAACACCAACAAGCATTCATCCAAAATTCATGAGGTTCTTTTGGGCGAGGAAATTCATAGCTTTTGCTGATCAAGTGGATTAGGGTTTGTGATAGCTTAGGAAGATTGAACCATGAGATCATGATGTTATATCTATCTTCCCTCAATCCAAATTGCTGCTGCTACTGCGAAAGACATAAATATTATCATCTGAGCTCGTCATCGAGGTCAAACATTGAACTTTATTTGAAGTATTGGTGAACATGCTCATCTTTTATTGAGAGATCCTTGTAGTTTATTGTTCTCTGTTATTATATATGTTGGATATACTTCCAAGTCTTTGTATAGAAGCTGAGACCACTCTACTACTAGGGCAAGTGTTGTCACTATAATTGTTTGGTCCCCGTGCACGGGCCTCGGCTCAATCATCAAAAAATAACCTGCATAAGAGTTTAAGAATTAGCTTTGTTTGGTGTATGCTGAAGTGTTTACCTGATCACTCTCCGATAAAGAACTAATCATAAGTTTGCTCTTTGAACACCCCCGACTCAAATGTTCATTATTTATGTTATGTAGCACTTTGTGTTCTTTTGTATTAATAGTGGTAGAACTAGGAGGTGGGAAACTTCTATAATGACAGAATTTAAAGATAATATTTGAATATTATATATATAGCTATAAGAGGTCTTTCTCAAACCTTAGAGGAGTAAGAGCCAACCGCAACTTCTCTTTCTAACCGTGGGGTATTAATATTTAATATGTTTGCATGTGAAAATGCAGTTGCCATCATGGCTTTTCTAATGGATCCAACACATCAAAGCATAATTTTTGTTTTGCATGCTTATTTCTCTTTTTTTAAAGGATTCGCAACCCTTCATTTTTCTCATCCAGGACTTGGGACCTGACAACGACAGTGTTGTTGTTGTAGTAGATTTAAATGAGAATTTGACTTTTAACATGACACAATGGAGAAAAATGATTCATGTAGCCGACCGCACGTAGTGGGACAAAGGCTTGTTGTTGTTGTTGTTGTTATGCTTATTTCTCTTTGTTATTTTTCTATCTTCTCGATCATGTACAATTTAATATTTGCTATGGAAAACACAATTATAACCACCATCCTAAAACATGATTAACAGTGCACTGGATTTTTATTGCAATGGCTAACTTTCCAAAACATTATAGTCACCATTTCAGAAATGATCCGTTTCCTAGAAACCTATTATGTATAAATTTTCTTTCAAACTGTTTTTCTGGTTGCAGTCAGTTTTCTCAAGGGAGTCTTTTGTTAAAACTCAAGCCCTAAGGGAGGATGTAATAGCTGGATGGAGACCAAAAGTTGAAGTTTAAGGTTTTGTTTGGGACAGCTTTCTTCTTGCTTTCTAAAATAACTTTCTAGTACAAAAATTTCTTAAAAACTGTTTTAGAAAGCAGTATAAAAGTTGTACCAAATGAAACCTAAATCTTCTATTACTATTTCCTTGTACAATCAGAACACGGTGTCAGCTGTCAGGATGCAAATAAAATAGTATGTAAATTGGTCATTTTGAAGAGCTAAGCATATTTTGCAGCCTGCTCTGTATAGCATGAGCCTTTTTTTGTTTAAAGCACATTATATTTGTAATTGATCCTTTTGAAGACTTGTGTGTGCAGTTCTTAGGCTTTCTATAAGCTTTTAAGGTGATTTATAGCAAGCAAAACAGCACTGCACTGAGAGCTTTTCTCTGATTCTACTGATAATTGGTCAAAAGCTCGATTGCCATAACGGTTATTTTTTCCCAGTACAGTATATCTTTGATGGAGTTGATTTTCTTTTGAAAATTTAGAGTTTTGTTTGAAGGGATTGGAGGGAATGCTGATGCATTTTATTTTTATAATTTTACAGAAGTTTGATTTCAATGTAATTAATATATAATTATAGTTACGATATATGAACAAATGCACTTAGATTTCCATTGATAATCGCCTTGCCATGGAACTTTTATTTGGTCCAGTGTAAGGATGCAGAGGAACATTCGGTCATAGGCAAAATCCCGTCTATACCGAGGTGTACCGAGATTTTCCAAAAAACTCGGTACACCTCGGTATAGGCGGGATTTAGCCTACGACCGAATGTTCCTCTGCATCCGGTCGGAGGACGTAATAATTGTTCCTTGCCATGTGGATATTCATGATCTTGTTAAATTGCAGTAGTAATTTTAGAAGAATATTAATCAAATCTCTTAAGCACGCAGGGCATCTCCAACTGAAAAATTCATTTTTCGCTCTAAAATATAGTAATACTTTAAAATGCGATAATTTATCTCCAATTGAACTTCATTTTAGAATGGCGTAGGCTTTCGCATTTGGGTGGAGTAGGTTGTGGACGAGAAAGGTTAATGTCCAATTGGAGATGACTTTAAAAGAAGAAGAATATAATCAAATGCTCAATGATTATGTTTGATTGGATCAATTTTTTTATAATTTATCAAAACTTATTATAGTTCTTTTTTTTAAATTAATTAGACTTTTTAATTTATAGGAATTTGAGTGGACTGAAAAAATAATAATTCAGTAACTAAATATTCATAAAATTTGATGAAATATGAAAATTCCAAATCTTATGTCATTTCATTCTATTTCCTCCTATCAAATTATTAAGCAAAGCCTAGAAGGAGCCACCCACCTCAAAAGGGGAAATTTTTAGGTGCGGATTCCAATAAAATGGTAACATGTGGAGTGAATATGTTGATATTCAATTGGATTTATTTTCTATTTTATATATTTAATGTGTTTGCGGAATTTTAAGCGCAGCGTATCAAAAGGGCGGGTAAAGTGCAGTCAAAACGTAGTAAAAAGACGCAACAAAAGAATAGTCAAAGCGCAATTAAAATGCGGGTAAATCATAAATAAAATGCACAAAAAGTGCAATCAAAATACACTCCACAAGTCACACTGTAAGTGGATGTCCGTAAGTATCTCTAAGTCTAGACTCCACCAAAAGACCTGAGACCGAGTAGAGGCGGAAATTATTGGGTCAGGTCACGGGACACAGCTTATGTTTGATATTCACAGTACTGAACTCGGTACTGTGAAGTACTAAGTACCGAACAGTACTGAGCTCACTACTGAGCAATACTGAGACTGCACAGTATCGAGCTTAGTACCGAGCTCAATACCAAATAGAAGATTATGTGGTGCATTTTCATTTGACTCTGAACATTGCATTTTCATTTGACTCTGAACATATCCGGTGGCCTGACCCAATAATTTCCCGAGTAGAGGAGCCCGAAAGTGGTGCTTGTTGTAAGCCCGAGTTCTCTAAACGCCTTATCCTCTACTTCTTCCATTTGAATCCCCTCTTCTTCCCTTCACACTCGCCGTCCCCAAAAGCAATACCGAGCATGGCATCCTCCATTTCTCTCCAAACAACTCTCCCTCTATACACCTCGCGTTTCCGCTACAAGCCAGTCTCCATCCCCGCTTCTCCCGTCCCCTTCCCCTTCTCCTTACACTCTTCATATCCTCTCTCCCTCCCCTCTTCCTCCACGACGCCTCCTTCTCCTCAACTCCGCCGCCTGCATCTCTGCGCCGCCGCCGAAGTTCTAGGAGCCACCTCCCCTCCTACCGGCTCTCCCAACCAAGAACAAACGGAGGCGCCGAAGGAGAAGCTGAAGGTTGTGGTGAAGACGATGGAAAAACCGAGACTCGTTCTCAAATTCATATGGATGGAGAAGAACATCGGGCTAGGGCTGGACCAGATGATCCCCGGCCATGGCTGCGTGCCGCTGAGCCCCTATTACTTCTGGCCCAGGAAGGACGCGTGGGAAGAGCTCAAGACTAAGCTGGAAGAGAAGCCATGGATTTCTCAGAAGCGCATGATTATACTTCTTAACCAGGCTACGGATATCATCAATCTCTGGCAACAGGCTGGAGGAAACCTATGATTTGATTCTTCTTTGCTTGGTGTTTGTTTCCCGTACTTGATTTGGAGAGTTTGATCTTGTCTGTATACTGTTCGACAGAATGCTCCAGTGAGGATGCCTTTGGTTTTTCTTGTCATGTTTGAGATCTTGCCTTTCTATCTGAATCTGTTTGTTGGCATCAAAGACATTTGTATTTTTATTTTGTTTTTCTTATCTGAGAAAAAAATGCTTCTTTCATGAATGTGATATGCAGGGAAAGTTATATTCATATGCAAAAAAGCTCCATTGTTGGCAATCTTTTGTTCCTATGGTGATTATAAAGATGATGCAGGGTTGATCCTTGATTCAAAACCCATTACTGTCCTTCTTGCACACCCCTTTCATCTTTTGTTGCTTAAACTCCTTGTATTGACTGGAAAAATTTTTGGTGACCTGTTGGTTGTGAGCTTAGGCTTCCAACTAAGAGGTCTTGGATTCGAGTCTTTGTGTATACTTTGTGTGTGTGAGCTTGACTTAAATAGCCTAAAAAAAAATCTTTTTTTTGATTAATAAAAGTGCTCATTTGTATTAATGGGGCAAAAGGATAGTGTTGCTTTCTACGGGATCCATTCATCATAGAAATTAGACCTATTTGATCCTGGAGGAATTATTCTATGCGGTATCTGGACGAAAATAATCATTCGGACTGTGTACATTGATTTGATATACATTGCGTATAAATGTGTAAACAGTGTGTACACTCACATTTCTGGACAGTTCTTTCCATCCTAATGCTGCTCAAAATAATCTCTCCTAGTCCTGACTTGCTTTCATGCACAATGTCAAATTGTTACTGGGTGGGATATGATCTCATTTGAGAATGGTATTGATATCTCCACTTTTATCATGCTAGATAGTGTTATTTACTATCGACAAGCTTTTCAGCATTTATAATTGGGTGATTCAAATTATAGGAATTGCCCAAGTAGTATTGAGTGGGAGAAAGTTGAAACTATTTAGCAATTCTTGGCTCCTTTCTACGAGATAACATGTGTTATATCTGGATCAAAGTATCCAACAACTAATTTATACTTTCCTTGCATTTCTACAGCTTATGCATCATTGAAACATGAACTCTTAAGTGGATATGAATACATCAAAAGAATGGCAGCAGGAATGATAGTCAAATTTGAGAAATATTGTTATGAATTTTTAGTTATACTGGCTATAGCTGTCATTTTAGATCAACGATACAAATTTTCTTTTGTTGAATGGTGCTATAGAAGACTATATGAAGGTGATTACCAACATGAACTAATAAAGGTTAGAGAAAAGTTATTCTCATTATTTGACAATTATATTTCAGCAAGTAATGAATTAATAGGACAACATACACGTGCATCCTGAATGGTTGAAGTTGGTACATCAAGAAGTATATCTACAAATATAATTAAGTCACAATTTATTCAGGTATTACATTAAGAACTAGTTATATCTTCATTAAAGCTACTTGTGTTGTTTTATAACATTTACATCTTCACAAACAGGATTTTGAGTATTTTCATGCAGAACTTGGTATGCCTAAGAAATCAGAGTTAGAAATATGTTTGGATGAGCCAAACCTAGATACGAAGATTGATTTAGACATCTTGCATTTCTGGAAAAATAACTAATATAGGTTTCCTGCTATATCTGCTATGGCTCGTGACGTTCTGTGCATTCCTATAAGTATAGTGGCATCAGAAAGTGCTTTCAGTAATAGCGATAGAATACTAGATCAATATCAAAGCTCACTTAAGCATGACATTGTTGAGACACTTGTCTGTTCAAAGGATTGATTGTATGCATAATAGGATGTTTTATTCTTCAACCTTCTTCTATTTATGTTTTTGGCACATTAATTTGATGAGCTCAAATTCTTATTTTTTTTTTGTTGCGGTAGTTCATGACATAGAACTAGATGCATTTACGAATGATATCTTTGATTTACATGTTACTCTAATTGATGCAGAACTGACTGCAAGTTCAGTTATTAGATGATTCTAGTTTAACATTTTATTTATGTCCGGATGACATCTTTTGCTTATGGTTACTATTTTATTTCGATATCCAGTTAAATGTTATTTTGTTAGAAGTTAGAACAACAATGTTGGACGGTTAAATCGGTGGTGGATTGATAGTGTATGAGTCATGAACTTAAAGTTGTGTTTTTGCTGTTTAACTATGTTTGACTGAAGTTTTTGGCTACTGCTTGTAAAATCTGTTATGTATTTCACTATTACGGTTACTAGGTTATCTTCTTTTGGTTCTGTTTGTACCCTGTTGGTGGTTGTGGGTTTGGTTACTGGGTTTGTGGTGTTCCTCCTAGTGATTGGTGTTTCAACATGTTAGTTTGGACCCTAGGTTGCCAGATGCTTTATTATCCATGTTTCAGCTGGTTGTGTTTTTCTCTTGCTTGTCTCTGTTCTGATTTCTTCTGGATTATGTTTTCCTCTGTTGGGATTAATGATGCTTTGGCTTATTATAATTTCAGCTGGTTTGTGGTTAATTGTTTTAATTGATGTTTTGGCTTATCATACTATGGAGGCGAACAAGTGTGGACCTATGGTAACCATTTTTGATTTTTTGCATTCGATCATTCTATGGAATATGAATTATGCTGTTGTGGTTCATATGGTTTCTCAGGCCTGAGGCTTTGTGTGGGTTAGCCCGTTGCTGCTTCTTGTAAATTCTGTTTAGTTCAGTGAAGTTGTTAACTGCTATTAGCCTGTTATGTTGTTGGCTGCTGCTTTCTGTTTTTTGAAGTTGAAATGCAAGAAAGTGAAATTAGAAATTTATGAGCTGGGAGTCGTCAACTTGTCGTATAAGTGATGAAGCGATGATTATTAACCTTCTAAGATGAAAGTGGGCATTTGGAGTCGTATAAGTGTAAGTTCTTATATACTATTACAATTTACAACCATGTGATATTTATATTAACTTAGAATAACATATACTATCTTACATTCTTATTCAAAGAACATATATTAAGTTAATATAAATTGTCACTTTGAATGATAATTTGTTAATATTAATTAAACTTCCATCTTACATCGCAATAATCTCATTATGAGATTAATAATTTGTAGGGTTTAATCTGAGCAGAGTAATATATTATTATTACATATTAAAGTTTGCAACTTATATAATTGATTTTATTGCAGGTCATTGCAGATTTGAAGCCATTATTTTGAGGAGCATTTCAATATTTCTCTTATAAACTTACAATCTTACTCATCAGTCATCAGTCAATATTATAAATGTATAATTGTATAAATTATTATTCTGAATTGAGATTGAGGTTGTAAATTTATAACTTTGTAAATTAGTATTTCTCTCGAATTGAATTGAGGTTGTAAATTTGTAACTAAAAGTTTGAAAGGATGAATTTATTAGTAACTTGTAAGAAATTTGATAGATTTGTAAACGATTTGAGTTTGTAATTAAAAAATTTATTTATTATTCAATTATTTCCAATTTTTCAAATTTATTTTTGTTGTTTTGCTCATATTTTTTCTCTGAAATTATAATTAAAAGTATTGTACATACGATTTATCGGGTCGGGTCGGGTTGACCTGAACCCGAGATGGGTCGGTTTCGGATTCCGAAAATCGACCTGTTTATAAAACCGGGTCGGGTTGACCCCCGAACCCAAAAAATGCCGGATCAATCATGGGTTAGATGCGAACCCGATCCGTAACCCGAAATTGATAGCCCTAGAAAGGTGTATTACTGCTTATGTGCCAATCCTTTGGAACTCTGGCTCCGATATCCTGCTAAAAGACTTGGCTTTCCTTAATGAGCAAAACAAGGGGTCTTGGGGAGCATTTATGCACATCAATTACTTCTTTAAGTAGTGAGCAAGAGTGAACTAAGCATGTGAAGAATATGAACTTAGCCAAGGGGAAGGAAAAAATTATTCAGTGCGAACACCGAACAGCATCCGGAGATCAATTAGAATGCGTCACGTCACTTTTTTGTTCAGTACCCGTGCTCAATACCGGGTGATTTGATACATTTTAATTAGTCTCAGCACCATTCGGGATCCGCATAGAATAATTTCTCAGGGGAACTGGGGAAGGGACCAAGTCTCCTTCCCTTAAGGGTGGGAATAGAACCATCCAAATAACAACAAGAGTAAGATCTAACTCATGGCCTTTAATTACCTATCTTAAATGTTTCACAGAGATGAAAATCTCATCAAAAGGGACCAACCTCTCCAACATAACCTGATGAGAAAATTATTTGATCAAAATCATACCTAAACAACTTTATAATAGAAAAAAATTTTGAAATGCTAAATATGCTTCTAAATTATTGAATCAAATGCTTATTAATTCCAAAAAATTACATATGATCAAATAATTTATAAGAAATAAAATTTTTGATTCTAGACACGTTTCTAAATTCCAGAATCAACCGAAAAAATAATTTTGGACTTTAGACATATTTTCAATATTAAATACTAGAAATGATAAAATATTAAATGCGAAAATTATCATACATTTGGCCATTAACATTTTTTGATTATCACTGTCTTTTAGTGCTTCTAAATATTTTCAAATTTAAAAAATTTATGGTGTATTTTTTTGAAGGTGGAAGACTTTACATTCTTCCACTTTGTCAATATATTCCATCATTACTATATATTAATAAACAAAATTTATGAATCATGATGATATATATATATATATTCTCTAAAAATGATTATTATTTTCCATGTATCACAAGAAATATGTCACTTATATATATATAATCAAATTTCATGCAAACATAGAGAATTAAAAAGAATATAAGATTCAAAAAACCCACATATACAATAATTTTATACAAATTCATCCAATTGAAAGTTGCCTTTTTGCCGCCTCTGCGGATTTTACAATGAATTATTTGCAAAGAATTATAATCCCAAATCTTTTTTACTCCCTGAGACGGGGCAAATTATTACGTCCGGTGTCCGGATTCGTCCGGACACCAATCCAGACGAGTCACATCATCAAAATACACCAAGACCTAGTATATTCGGGTGTCCGGACGTAATAATTCGCCCTGAGACGACAACATCCTCTCTTTATAAAGAAAATGCTAAAGGACAACCAAAAGAAAATAACAAAAATTTTAAAACATCGTCATTGAAATAACTAACCACAAATATTGAATATAACAAAAATCAAAATCTTACTTGATAGTAGCAAGTACGGATCCCCAGCAAGCTATGTTCTTTGGAATATCGTTATTCTGGACAGTAGGTGAAGATGCAATTGACTCTCTTTCTCTATCTCCCTCCAAACCTGAAACAATTTTTTTTTTTTGAAAGCCATTGTAATCTGCAGATTGTTTCCAAACCTGAAACGATTAATTCTTTCAATCTTAACTACAGTTAACAATCCAGCTAAGTGTGCAGCAGCAGAACATACTACATGATTTTGATCAAAATTATCTCTCAATGCAGTGCTCCATGGTCAGGAGGACATCTTATATACAGGTAAAATTGCCTAGTTTTTGTATTTTTTTGAGCTAAACTATGGATGGAAAGGGCCAACTTGGAAGAGAAATTGAATGAATATATACTTCTGAAGTACAAAATGTTTCTAACCACTTAATTTAAATACCTCATTCCATTCAAACAGGGTAGGCCTTTTTCAGTCCAGCTGGTCTTACAAACTCTGTTATCCAAGTTTCGATAAGATTTAGAAACAATGTGATCCCTTTGCGTCTGATGAAGAAGTGGACATACCATGGCTTGAGCGCTTCCTCTTGTGTGTCCTCCATGTGACAATGTTGCCATACCAGCTGCTGCTACCTTCACCATCACCATCACCTTCTTCTCTGCTCTGAAACAAAGATCTGTACTTTCCCGGAGTCCTGCTAGACAAATCATCACTAATATCATCGCTCGCCATTGGTTTGCTCACATTCCTTTGCTCGGAGAAAGTCTGCGCAACCATTTCGTCCGAGGTGGTTGACTCGTATATATCAGAGAGGTGGTCCTTTCTCCTTCCTTTGCTCGAAAATATCGATATGTCTTCTCCATTTTCAACAGCTTTCATCCACTGGATATCGGTGAGTGGATCGGCATAAACCACCTCTCGACGTCGTCTCTTACCCAAAGCTTGATTACTATCCCCATCTGCTGTCCTTTTAGTCTTGACATCTATGTTCTTGAAGTATACCCAATCTGGCACCTCAAATTCTTCCATCAGCCTCGACTTGTATCTCTCCCTTTGCCTCCTCTCCTCATCCATTTTCTCAAATAACCAAAATTCCTCTTCATTTCGAGCTGCAAGCCGGTTTATCTCTCTCTCACTGGGAACGTCTGTTCCAAGTGAATCAGTTCCTCTTCGCATAATCTCCTCCAGCAATTCTCGTCTGTCCTGAGCTGCACGGAATTAAGTTGTCTTACTAAAATGCAAAAAAGAATAAGAATGGGTTCATAAAAGAATTTTCCTAATGCAGTTCTAATACATGGAACAAGAGATTCAATCATAATAGCACAAATTATCCCATCTATCATAGCTTGTAGATGAACAAACCTGTAGAAGTAGTGTTGAACAATCCTGCCTGGATGACCTTCGCATCGATACCCATCTTCTGCTTTGCACGCTCTAAAATCACCTCTTCTATGGATCCCACACTTACGAGCACAAAGACACGAACCTCCTTCTTCTGGCCAATTCGATGGGCCCGGTCTTCTGCTTGCTGATCCATTTGAGGGTTCCAGTCACTGTCAAAGATAATAACAGTATCTGCAGTTTGCAAATTTAATCCAAGACCTCCAGCTCGAGTGCTTAAAAGAAACATGAAGTAGTCAGAATCAGGTGCATTGAACAGTTTCAGTTTAGCACCTCGTTCTTCGGTCTTGGTTGAACCATCAAGCCTAAGATACTTGTAACCATAAATGTCCAAATAGATCTCAAGAATATTTATTAAGCGAGTCATTTGAGAAAAAAGGAGAATTCTATGACCAGCTCTTTTCAGTTTTGGAAGCAGCCGGTCAAGCAGCTCGAATTTTCCAGATGCTCGAAAAATCTGTTCTCTCTGCCACATGTTATAATCTTCTACAAACAAAAACGGATGATTGCAACACTTTCTGAGCTGCATCGAATAATTCTGGAGACCTTTAGACCTTCCACTGCCTACACATGGTTATTTCAAATAAAAAAGGTTAAATCTAATGTTCAAGAATAGAGCAGAGTAGTGTTATAGGCAAAGCAATTGCTGCGCAATAGAGGAAAATATCTATCTCTATCATATGCTAGATTTTCATCAAATAGTAGCAGCAATATGTTTCTACAGAGAAGAAAAGAGGAAAAAAAAAAAAAACATCGAAAAATAGCAAATCATGTTCTTCCATCAGACCGGGACATTAAATGTAGCACATGAGATGATGAGATCAATTTTGAGCTTTCTTACCAAGTAATTCTTGGTAGACATTTTAATGTGATTAAATCATTCTTCTATTGTTAAGCTGCAAGGTTCGAGCTTAACTAAGGCCTCATCAAGGATATCTGAACTAAAAAAAAAAAGCCTCATAAAAAATGAGAGACAGAAGTCGATCTTTGCAATGCTTTGCACACTAATTGAAATCTCAGTGGTTTCAAGTATAACGACTCATACTATTTATTGTTCGATAGTCAACACCAAACCATGTTTCCTCATAGTTAAATTAGGAGTAGATGTGGAGCTTGATTGTTACATGTCTTAAATTCAAATTATTAAGATATATTTATGGCACATCGCTTGCCATTTCGGATTTGCGAATATCAAACAGATTGGCATATAATCTAGCATAATGCCCATAGTAGTAGTTGTGATATCTTCGGATTGAGAATGCGCACATATATACAAAAAAAAAATGACAAGTTTAGCTGATGTGGCAGATTAACATTGGTGGATTAGCTAAATAAAACAAAAGGCCTAAAACTTTCTACAAGTGAAAACATTATCAATGTTTGTGCCATGTCTCCTGAATTGTCACTTGCTTAGGGACATCAGATTCACATTTTGTGGTCTAGGCATATGCAATTGCTTCTCTAGCCTGTGCAGCCATGGCTTTTTGTTTGGGGTGATGCTTTCTGTATTGCTATATTTTGTTGCCTTGGTGATCCACTGATAATTTATATGAACCCACAGGTAATTATAATATTTAATTAAATCATCATGATCAAAACTACCATTATGAGTAGATTTATCCAAACAATTAAGGGATGATTTACTCTGGTTTCGAAATGTTACATGCTAAAAAAAAGGAAATTATGAAAACTGTAAGTAGGGATCATGCGGTTTGGGACATGGATATCCTTCTCATTAAAGAGCGACATCCGAGGTCTCTATCAGAGATGCTGTCAAGATTTAGTAGAGTAGCATTATTGCTCCAGCTTTCTATCAATACAAGATCTATTAGCGATGCTTTGTATCCTAAAGGAGTTCTCAAATGACAGTTCAGCAATAGTTTTTCCAAGCGTGAAATCTATAAGAACTGGTTCCGACATATTGGCCTATTCACATGGAAGCAAAAATTTAAACCCCAAATTTTGTGCTGTTTCAAGTAGGACTTAATCATGATTTAAAGATAAATCATGCTAAATAATTTTTTTGAGGTATCTAAATCCAGTTAAATCCTATTTTTGTGCTGTTTTTGGAATTTAGCAGGAATTGTTGAATCATAGGGGAGCAAGATTTAAGGGATTTACAACCTCTTGCTTTAGATGTTTTAGATCTCATATTCATTTAAATTTTAAATCATGATGCAAAAAAGTAAATATTTTATCAGGATTTAATAAGATTTAATAAGTCACCTGCTAATCAATTTTCAAGTTTTACTACTCAAAATTTACTAAATCTCGATTTGCAAGATTTTCTAGATCCTACAATCACTACCTGCTCATTCTCATCCCAATTCTTAAAACATGGTAGCAACAATGCTATAACGAGGCAGTAACAAAGCTAAAATAGCTGATAATTACCTACAATTACGTTAATTAAGGATTAATTAGATTTAATTATGATTAGAAAACTTTTATTAGAATTTGATGATGAAAATTAAGCCCACGACAATTATTAAGAACATTAACTGGACAGAGTGATTAACAATAAATTAATTATCCATGCTAATTATAAATTAAATATAATTTGATTAAAATATTACTATTAAATTAGTTTTTAGGTGTGGCAATTAAGATTGAAACAAATAATTAATTTATAAATAAATAGAATAATTGTTAAGTAACATCTTCTGTAAGCTAATAAGAGACTTAAGATTTTAATTATCAAAATAAAGTTTGGGAGTATTTAAATATGACAATTTCTCACAATAAGTTAACCGATCAATTAATTAAGCATATTAAATCATAAGTCACTGTTTTATGGTTAATTAGAAATTAATTAATTGTGATTAAAATAATTAAGATTTAAATTACGAATTTAAATTTATTTTGACAAATTAGATATCTATGTATAAAATATATTATTGATTAGCATTTAAGAAGTTAATAATTAATCAGTGATTATGATGATAACATAGATTAGTAAAGGCTTAAATAAGATTTAGACAGGAATAATAGATAGATGTGATTTATAATGGATTAAATACTAAATTGTGCTACTTAATTATTGATTCTTTTTTGTTTTCAATTTTTATTTTCAAACATTTTTATTTCTGTTTTTAAAAACAAGAAATAACCAGAACATCCGAACATTTTTTTAGTGAAAATAAAAATAAAATAGAAACAAAACACATCCGAACATAGCCTTGGTATTTTATAATTTCTAGCAATTGTAGAATGATATGAGATGCTCACCGAAAAGGGAAAAAACTTAGAAAAAGTACTAAATCTATAGATTAGTTCATGCATCCATATGCTACTTTTCCATAGAAATTATTTGTTGAGCCCACTTATAGCTCTCTATGATATAAGTATATAACACAGGTTGATTGTGAAACCAAAATCTCAAAATCTTGCTAATGAGAACATTAGAGCTTGGAAAGTCTATCAGAGACGTGACCGTCATGTATTTTTGAGCAATTTCATGTATTTGTTTTTATTATGTTATTTGTCTTTTATTATTTACGTTGTAATTGTTTTCCTGTTTTACCCCTTACTTAAGGGAGGTCGTATGTAAGCCCTGAGGGCATTGTCGTTTTTTTTTTTTGAGTCATATGTACGAGGCTATTTATAGCCCCTATGTTTCTCTTTGAAAGCTTAATGATTGAATAATAAAAAATTTCCCCCATGTTTGAGTTCTTATGAGAGCTTGAGAGAGATTGGAGTGAGATCCCTTGGAGAGGGCATTTGGATCACCCACCAACCTTGGAGACGGCCGGGTTCGTGATTTTTCTTTTATTGAATTTTCTTTCTCTCTTCTTCCTCTAGCCTCCGGCCTAAGGTTGCACCAAACCCCTAGGCCGCCGGTCACCGAATTTCCTCCCCATCTACCCATCGACTTCACCCCACCACCTCCCCGTCACCAAAATCCCCATAAACACCCAACATAGCTGCCGGCCACTCCCACCTCCGCTATCTTCCCTCCACAACTCAACTCCCCCTTGAATACTTGTGATAAGGACATCGCAGTGATTTTGACACGTGTACCACCGGAGATCGACGGCCACGTTCAGGAGTTTATATTTTGAGTCATTTTATGTAGTAGTTTATTTTATTTTTCAGTTTTACTGTTTTACCCTTATGGATGGTCATTTGATATTTTAGCCCCGAGGGCATTTATGTCTTTTAGTTTTAGTTTCATTTTGGCCTATTTATATAAGGCCTCATGCATTGTACGATGATGATTATTGATGAATGAAAATTTCGTTCTCTTGTTGATTTCTTTGTGAGTTCATGAAATTTCCCAAGATCTCTTTGTGAGTTCATGAAATTTCCCAAGATCTCTTTGTGTGTTCTTGAGGTGTGTTCTTGAGGAGATAGTATTGTGAATCTCTTTGTGAGTTCTTGTGAAAGTGGTCTTCAAGGTTTGTAGTTGGATAAATTTCTTTTCCCTACACCAATCCCTTCTTCCCCTATTTAGCCGAAAATTCGCCTCCTCCCCAAAATTTCCCACCCCACCCGCTCCACCGCCTGGCCCCTCAGCTCCCTGCAGCCAGCCGCCGGGTCCAAGCCCCACCCATGGCCACCCTCCTTGCCGCCGGCCCCCTATTGGCCCTCTTCCTTTTCAAATTTCAAATTCTCCTTTCTTAATTTGCTTTTCTAATTAGGCTTTGTCTGTTTAGGAAAGACAATTAAAGGAGTTACAAGCTATTTTAAATTCAAACTATCTCCTCTCTCATTCTAATTCAAATTTGGGAGTTATTTTAAATTCAATCAATTCTGAAATTAAAATTCAGATTTGAATAGAATTAATTAACTCCTTGTGGTCCCCACATGCTTTACTCCAAACCCCTCTCTCTCCTCCCCATATGGCCGGCCACCCCTCCTCTTTTCTCTCTCCCCAAATTAAATTAAAAGCTCCACCAAATCAGCCCCTAATTATCTCCACAATTAACGCCCCTAGTCATTATTAGATTAATTTGGAATTTCAAATTAATCTCCCTCCAAAACCACTTGAAGCTGAAATTAAGTTCAGTTTTCTAAATTCCTTGTGGGCTCCGAAAATTCGTCCCCGGCCTCCGCTCGCTCTTCTTATTCGGCGAGGGAGTTTTAACGAACTAAGTTCCGAGGTAAATTTTGGAAGGCAGATGGGTTTGTAGATAAGACACTACCCAGAGATTTCGCCCTCATTTTGTGAGGACTTTATGATCTGAGTTCTGGTTTCCTATAGGCGCAAGCCCCTATAGTTAATTACCCCTCTCGATCACGAGAGAGAACTTTCGATTAAGGCTAGTCGTCAATCAGATACGTATAGAATATACGTGTTATCTGGCATATAGTAGCAGCAATGGATTTAGATATTGGTAGAAATTGGATTTGGAAATTGGGTTTTGAATTTGGGAATTCGGAAAGGATTTGATATTTAAAACTTGAAATTACACCATCTCATACTTAAAGCGGATGGTGGGGGAATGGATGATAGACCCGATCAAGATCCCATGGTTCCGTCATCCCGGGCCATCGTGGTCCCTGGTCTACTTAGTCAGAGGAGGTAGTCGACCCAACCTGACAGAAGGATCCTTGTCGGCAGCCATGGGTTGCTTCATCCAAGGGGACCTTGTAGACCGGGGTTGATGTTTGTCTAAGGAGACAAATTGATCGAGAAGCTGTCGCGGGATTTTGGCAGAAATCCCGGAACGGCGCTGCTGCACAGTGTCTCGGCGAGACTTCGGCAGGATTCACGGGATTTCAGTCCGAGGTTTGCGGGATATCCGGAATTTTGGGCAGCAGCTTGATGGATACGAGGTATGCATATTTTTTGATCTTTTGGTTATTATGTTGAGGTCAACATTCCTCCCTCTCCCTCTAGCTCACGGCTAAGCCCTCTTCTCTCCAAACCGCCACCTCCACTTTTCTCCTCCCATCATTGCTTGGCTGAGTTCCACCAAGAGAAGATTCTCCTACCACCAAATACATCCACACCGCAAGGACATCTCATAGTCATGAATGGCCGATCCAGAGCGTGATTACGGCATTGTATACGATCATCAAGGCGACATTGACGTTATCCGATCGACGTTTTTTGACGTTGGATTCGGCTTCGACCACACCGTTGAGGATTACTTGAATCGGATTCTTCCCCACCTTGTGGACATCCTCGACGAGTAACTTCCGGCGGACGAGTGGATCATCAACGGCCAAACACCTTCTTCTCCAAATCCGACTTCCTCCCCGACGGTTAGCCCCATCGGCATTACTTGTCTAATAGTGGCATCGTTGAGTTTGTGCGCCATCCTCTTCCGCTAACCGAGTGAATCCAAGAGTGAAAGTGATGGATTTCGAGGTGAATGATTTATATCTTAAGCCTTGGATTTTTGTTAAGAGCCATTTGCTTTATTACTTATTGAATTAATTTTGTTTGTTTCATGTTGCTTCTAAATGTAATTGATTGACGTTGCTTAGTTCCTCCAAGAAAATTTCTTGCGATCTATCTTGAAAAGCATTTGTTTAAAATTAGCAACGCAAGTTCACAAGTATTAATTTCTAACAAGCAATATGCATCCACTCTTAATTTAGAAAGTTTTAATTTCAAATTCAATTTGAAATTCTTTCCTAATTTAGAAATTCTATTTTAGGAAAGTTTCTAAATTAAACCCTATTTGAATTTCAAATTAATTGGGCTTTAATTAAAACTTTCCTAATCTCTAAATCCCAAATTAGCAACCCAAATTATTCCCACATTCACCTCCCTAGACTATTAAGCCGCCGGCCCCTCCCCTTTAATTCCTATGGATTTATTTCCAAAAATCCATCTCCCCCTTTTGGAATTAATTCAAACCTCCAAGCCCCTCTTGCCCGAAATTTCCTAACCCCCCACACCTACTTACTACTTTCCAAAATCAAACAGAGTTTTGGAAACAAATGCCCTAACCTCCTCTTTCTTGTTGCCGCCCATGCCCTCCCTCTCTCTTCTTTAATTATTCCCAAACATAGGGATTAATTAGAGCATTGTTTGGAAACCTTTTCCCTCCACCTATTCGGATCCAAATTAAATCTCTCCTCCCTCTCTTGGCCGGCCACCCCACCCTCCTCCCCACTTCAATTCGAGAGAAACTTCTTTCTCTCTAGCGGAGCTTCGAAGGATTGACATTGATCTTCAACTACACACCATCCTTCTAAAGCCAACGAATGGCCGATCCGGAGCTTTACTACGGATTTACTTACGACGAGCAAGGATACATTAATATTCTCCACTCCACCTTTTTCGACTTCAATCCGAAAGTTGATTGTTCCATCGAAGAGTACGTGGGCTGTATTATTTTCACGCTATCGGAGGCTATCAACGAGAAACTTGCCGGCGCCCAGTGGCAAATCGTCTCCGAACCTACCCAATGGTGAACTTCTTCCCCTTTTCATTTATTTTCCTAATCCCCTAATCTTGTAGGTGGTGTCAGTCACAAGGAGCCGTATTTTGCCTTATGCTGAAGCTTAGTAAACATAGGATTGAGTACACCTTTTATGTTACTATCTTATTATTAGACTAAGGATTTTGTTGAAAGCTATTACATTTGCTTACTATTGAGATTCTAATTTATTTGATAATTCAAGTGTTTGGCAAGTGGCTTAGCCTAAACGTAGACACTCATCTCTTGTTTTCTTTTGTCGTTTTGATTGCTAAAAGTTTTAATCTTAATTGTTTTATTCAAGAGATCGTGCAAATTCTTATCGCATGCAATTAAAACATTGTAATTCTGCATCACTTGCTAATGCGTACTGATCAACTTTGCTTACTGTGTACATTTGATCAATTATACGCTTGACTAAGTCCTTGCAATCTAAAAACATTCATATATTTGCAAGACTATGATTTGTTACCCCAAAATCTACCTCAAATGTTCCCAAAGTCTGCTTGCCTAATCTTCTTTTCAGAACTTGCAGGTCTCAAGCCTACTTCTACTTTAGCATCCCTTTCAGCGACAAACCTTAATCCTCCTTCCTAGGACCCTAAAATCTCAAAATAAAATCACGCTCTTTCCTACTACAAGAAATCATTCTTAAGATAATATGCTAGACAAAAATAAAAATAAAAATCAATAAAACCAGTTTAAACATACCAGATTCTAGCCCAACCCTTCCAATATCTGTAATCTGCTGGTAGTATGCTTTCTGCCATGCAGACATATCACATTTTAATATCACGTGGGTTTTCCCTGGAAGATACTTTTCGACCTCATCCTTCTTTCTTCTGAGTAAAAATGGTCTTATAACCTGAAAAGATAAATATGGTAAGCGACATGATTAAGAGAGCATAAAGGAAAAGATAATTGTAAAAGAAGCAGCAAAGATTTAATAGTGAAGTCAGAACTCACTTGATGTAAACGTCGAATAATCAAAAGCTGTTCCTCATCTGTAAGACTAACCTCACACTTATCTGCAAACGGAGCATTAAACCATTCCTCGAAATTCTGTACCGAATTAAAGATGCTAGGTAGAAGGAAATTAAGCAATGACCACAGTTCCTGAAGACTATTCTGTATCGGAGTACCAGTCAAAAGAAGTCTCCGCCTAATATGAAAGCTAGGCAGGGAGGAAATTATAGTAAGACAATACACCATTAAAAGTAGAACACAGGGTGCCGAAAAAAAATATCATTACAAACAAACTTTTCTTTCTGGCATTATGGAAGAAGTATGATAATGGCTTAATGAAGATTTTATAACTTTCTTTGGTATCAAAGAATGAAAGTGTCACTGAGGTAACAATGTCAATGCGATAAGCACACAGGAAACGTTAAAATGAAAAATAAACTATATTTCAGGTAATACTAGAAAAATTGACCTGTAACTAATTCAACTCAATGTCAACGAAAATTACCTTGAGATCTATTATCTTAGTGATGCAAGGCTAACATGAATTAAGTGTCAGGTTTAAGTATTTTCGTTGAATTATCATTATATTGTTGCTAGTAGTTTAATTTTAGTTATTGTGCGTTATATGATCTCATTTGTCAGTTCTAGATAAATTTAATTACATCTTATCTTATAAAATATTCTATTATAAATAGAAATCCAATGGTTACGTAATAATCATTGGAATGAAAGGATGATTATCATAACTCATCCTCTTAGACTATGTTTATCATATTCATCTATATATATAGGTGGCCCGTTCATCTCTTCGTTTTTTGGATGTGTTCCCTTTATCTTGTCTTATTTGATATCGTCTTCTTTGATCTTCTTTGAAAAGCATTCTCGAGAGGATGGGTGTCATTATGTTGGCATTACAATATGAAATCTATTTGTTCCTCTGGAAATATTCGACCTCTCTATAGTAGAATTCTTAGCAACCCAAGAGGATTGATGTGAGCAAGCATGGATTATCTCTTGGTACTTTGGTTGAATTATCATTATAATTTTGTTATTAACTTATCTTTAGTATTTATTTTAATTGCCATGGGTAACATGGTTATTTGTCAATTTACGATATGTTTCATTATAAGCCTTATATTATAGGATTTTCTATTATAAATATGCAAGTTTCATGTAATAGATATAAACTATGATTATTAAAATGAAATGTGCCTAGCACGTCTCTTCCTCATCTTAGGCTGTATGTTCGGTTCTTCTCTCTTATTCCCTCTATTGTTTCTTCTTCTCTCTTCCCTGAATTATTCTAGGATTCCACAAATATTCCAGTGTGTCGAGCTCTACATCAGTGGGGATATTAATTGAAGCAGCTAAAAATATTTATTGATGGAGTGCAAAGGATTCTTTCTGTGGTTCACTAAGTTTACACGGTGGAATGTATTCTTTATGTAATCTTCATACCTATTTAGACAGAAAAATAATGCAAAAGCCATCAATCTAATCAGTAAAAATCAAAAAATTTCTTCTGGGTCCATTCAGACCATGGAAGCAGAAAGAAAAAATTTAAATTTTGAAATAAGTAGCATCTGCATGAAATTGGCTACTAACGTACCCAGAGGCCAACGTTCTTGCAAGAGCACACTCATGATTTTTTAAGCGATGCCCTTCATCAACTATCATATAGAACCAATGAATCTTCCTCAGAAATACTTTATCTTTCATTATAAGGTCATAGTGGGTGATCAAAACGTTAAACTTTCCTTCTCCAGAAATCTCATCTTTTATAGCCTTTCTTTCATTTACCCCTCCATCATATAAAACAGTTGATATACTGAAGCAAAAAAAAGTTCAACTGTCAAACAAAGGGAAAAAAAAAAACAATCTCTTGATAATTTTTAATCTATAAGAAAATGACAATACCTAGGTGCCCAAGTTGAAAATTCATGAAGCCAGTTTGGCAATACAGCCTTTGGAGCTATGATCATGTGCGGACCACTGACACATTTGTTCTCCATCAGATATGCAATCAATGCAATAGTCTGAATTGTCTTACCTAGGCCCATCTCATCAGCAAGGATACCATTTAGATTGTTGTTAAACAAAGAAAGCATCCATTGAAGTCCTTCTAACTGATAAGATCTTAATTCTCCACCCTGGAGCATAGCTGGTTGCTCAGTTACCTGAGAAATATTTAAAAGCAGAAGTTATGAAAATGGAAAAGGAAAAGGAAAATGAGAGAAGAGTAAAACAAATGAAAAAAGGTATTAAAACTTGTGAAACAATTGAGAAACTTAGTTAATGAATGCTAGTAACCATGAACTTACATGTAGAACAGAATGTTTGCTAAAAAAATAGAAAGAAAAGAAAGAAGCAATTATGAATGATAGTGTGCAAAAAAAAATTACAAAAGGCTAGCATGCTCATTTTTAGTGTTTGCATAAAATTGTTATAGGAAATACTTGAGTTCACAATAACCCTAAGGTAATACTTGAGTTCGCAAGCAACCCTATCCTAAATTGGTGAGCAAACAGCAACAAAACTGCTGTTTGCTGCAGTTAAACAGACTCAAACAGTGGAAAACAGCAAGAAATTGAGCAAGAAATTGAGTATGAATATGAAGAAAATCAAGACAACGACTTGTATTCCACTAGTAGGTGAAAGAAAACAATAACCATACAAGATTCTTCAATTCAAGAGGAAGAGAACTCTCCAAAATCTCTAGCCAAGAAGATTAGAACCCAAGCCTCTCAGAAGATCCCAAAAATCAGCCCAAATTCAAGATAAAACCCTAGATCCCCCTTTCCCCCCCATTAACTCCAAACCCCCCATAAAAAATCCATAAACAACCCTTCTATTCAAATTTCCCCCCTTTCATTCAAACTTTCCCTCCCAAACTTGAATTAAACCCAAGGCCCACAAGGCATCCGCCCCCCTTCCCCATGTGGGGCCTGCCTGGAATAAGTGATGACCGGCCCATGTTGGACCAATCCAGCCGGCCCAGGAGGGGCCGGCATAACAAATTGCTCAATTTAATTTTTGCAATAAGTTGATTTGAAATATGGTGAATACTCTCATACACTTGAAATCAATTAATCAAATCTTGAAATCAAAATCAAACCGGCATTATGGCAAACAAAACCAAAATGTTAGGTTCCAGGAGTTCTTAAAGAACGTATAATTAGTTTTTTGAATTCAATTAGATTTGGTTTGATTCACTTTGATTTTAAGTGGATTTCAACGATTAGGTGTGATTTGATTTCATAATTTTGTTCTAAAGTGATGGATCTTCAAAGAAGATTTCATCAAAAGAAAATGTTTAGGAGAAAAATAAAAAATTGAAAATGTACCAGTGGAAACTTTTGACAAAGGTCCAGCCGTCTAGGGAATTGGGTCTTCAAGCATAAAGGAAGAAATGATAAGCTGACTTGAGTGATAAGTGAACCTCAAGCCTTAATAACCGAGGAGTGCATTTTATTGTACCAATAATCAGACAACAACAAGAATTTGTTGGTCAGCACTTGAAAATATATACATATTTTTTTAATATGCTTAATCGGTTTGTTTTGTTTTATTTCAATTTGACAAAATTTCAAACCAAAGCCAAATCAAAGAAGTCAGTTCAGAAAAAATATCAAACTGAAACCAATCCAAACTTAAATAAAACCAAACCAAATGATCAATTTAATCGTTTCAGTTTGGAATTTAGGATCAACCGTTTTTCTGCACATCCCTATTTTTATAACCACAAAAAGGTAAAGTGGTGCATATAAAAGCATGCAGGAATTCAAATTTAAAATTCTAGATATAGAAAATGAGCAATGCCTACAACTACATTTTAACATTCAAATTATTAAACAAAAATTTTTAAAAAAATCTATTAATCTAAATTGTGGGGTCAACAAAGGGAACTTCTGCAAGTGACAAATTGAAAACAGTATTTTAAGTGAAGTACTCCATCGATGAGGAGAGGAGAGTTGTACACTATAATTCAATCCGAATAGTTACAGATTACATAATTCATGAAAATTTACATAACGTTTTTTTCTTACAACATATAAAAAAGCATTTTGAATATTATTAAAAACAATTAGAATTTTTTTTCACAGAGAACAACGTACCAGTTTTTTTGCACGGTTATGCATGGGTAAAAAGATAAGAAATAGTTAAGCAGTGGCACAAAACTCCAGCACTCTTCGTTAAGAGGCTATTAAAGTTAGTTTTTAACAAGATAGGGACAGAAGCAAAATGAGACCATTCTAAAATGCCAATTTGTAAAACAAATAAATTTTCAAAATAACAATATGTTTTCTAACCATAAATGAGGTTTTCATGTGTGCAAACCATGCAAGCTGCTGAGATTATAAAGGTTGAAGAGCCTAATTTTAGTAATTTAATCATTACCTTTTCTTGAATGGAATGAACAGCAGAATTATATTGCCTTTGTCCTTCAAGAAAATCATTTGTATGGAAATCTGGACCAGACTCGATGTCAACAATATCCTTATCTTCATCTAAAATTAGTTCTCCTGGAGTTCCAGTTTTAGAGAGAGAAGGATCAACAGGCTCGGAACCTTTCAAGGCTTCAAGATCATCAAAATGTTCAGCATCTTTCTGTCTCTGGACTGCAGCACCAAGGCAAACAAGAAGCTCATTTGTTTTTCCAAGAAGCATGGTCAGCCGCTCATTCTTGCTCTCTTCAACCAATCTCATATATGCTTCTTGGTCATCTGCTTTTAATGCCTGAAACCTCAACTTTTCTGCACGAGTAGCTCGTTGCCTTTGCCTTGCATGCCATGCCTACATGCATAGTTTACCAAGTCAGGATAAATACTTCATGGTAAGAGCTACTAAACTGGGTTCACTAAAAGAGGTACAAGTCAAGTTAAAAAAAAATCATTCTTTCAGGAATTTAAAAAAAAAAAAAAAACTAGAAGTTTAGGATAGCATCCCCATCCATGAGATCAAACAAGCATGCTAATTCTTCTAGCAACAACACAAACTCATCATCTGCAACTATGATAACACTGAACGAGCATAAATTGAAAGAAACTTCTCTAATGTGTAGATTCATAACATCAATGTGATTAAGTAAGCATTTTACTCAAACCTGAACACCATCATTTTTCTGTTTTCTTCGTTTCAAAGCAGCTTGTGCTTGTAATTGAAACTCTCGAGCAGCATTAAGTATTTCAGCAAAAAATTTCCTCTTCTTGGTCTCCATGCGATTCTTTTCTTCCTCTTCAAGCCTGGAAAGCCTCTGGAAACAAAATCAATGCAATAAGAAACTTCTTAGATTGACCTAGCAAATGGCTAACTAGCAAAGAGAATTATAATGTGCAACAGATAACCTCTGCATCTCTTTTTTTCCTCTGACGATCATCAACTTCCATTGCATAAGTATCGCCAATACCATACATGCTAAAAGGATGCCGCAGGCGCATCATTCCCCAATCAAACAATTGTTTTTCAGGATATGCACATTTTTCATATAACCAGTGCTCTGCACTAACATCTGCACGCACCTTCCTCTGTAATTGTACCAACTGAAACAAGGAAAGTATTCAACATAACAAGCTACTTTTGAAGCTTCGATATAAATACAAGAAAAAGAGCAATACAGGTAAAGAAAGAGTAATGTGTACATAGTTTGTTCATTTTTATGCAAAATGCAAATAGGACATTAAGCCCCTCTATCTGGAATACCCTCAAAAGGTCTCACATCTTTTAAAATGCAAATAAAGGACCTTTCCATAACTATGACCAGTAGCGAGAGGTTAAACTAAGTGCCCTCAGCTCGCTGAAGTTTTAGCGCCCATTATTCCTACTATGATCTCACAGCAGGCCTGGCACCGGATGGAATTTATTAGGGTCAGCGGTCATCGACAGCGTTATCTTGCATGATAGTGGTGGCAGTAAGAATAGAAGGGAGAAGCAAAAGACGTATTCATCACCAAAATATCAAGGTAAGAAAGTGACAGAAAACATTAATGTAGACGTACTTGCTGATTAAATCGAAAAACTGAGAGACCTATTTAAGGGGTTTAAAATAAAAAAGAAAAAGACGAACCAAATTTGTCTACTTCGAGCAAACTATATAAGAATTTCAGAAACAACAAAAACATTTTTCTGGCAAACAGCACTATGATAGAAGGAAGAGAAAAATAAAAAGTTCCAATAAATTCAAAAGCAACCATAGGAGCATGAAAAATTTTCATTTGTGAAGGTTCGCTAAATCTTCAACAACAACAACATCAAGTCTTTATCCCACTAAATCTCACATTCACTAAAAAGTTATAAAGCTTGCAAATCTTAATCACTAAGGGGCTATTTGATTAAATTTTTTTTGAACTGATGAATTTTCCAAAATGCAAAGTAGATATAGTGTAATATGAATACTCAGAATTTTTAATGTCTGTAAAATAAATATAGGTGAAACTTTTTCTTTGTTTGGTTGGATGTGAAGTATAGAGTATAACACACCACTGAAATGTAGTGGTAAGATTACCACTTACTGTTTTTAAATTGAAAGAAAGAATAAGCGCCCAAGAAATTATTTTAGGTCCATTTTTTAAGATTGCTCAGTTAAAATAGAGTGACACACTTTTATTTGAGGTAAATTTAGATTAGTCTATCCAATGATGCAATCCTCATTAGAACCAGAAACGACTAAACTATCAAAACATATCCTATTAATCATTCTGATCAGCAAAAAACTCATGTGGTACAACCACCACTACAAAACTGCAATAGATCAAAATATCATAATATTTTTTGAAAAAAACAAAGCGATGTTTATCCAAACAACTGACTCATTAATCTACATATGTATCAAAACTTTTTTATCACTTTTCCACAAGATATCTGATGAGGACATCGGAAGACCAACAGTTACGATATGGAGTTTATTTTATTGTTTATGTGTCTTATGTACTAGTTTATTTTATAGTCTTGTTTTTCCCATTTTACCCCTAGAGGTGGTCATGTGATGTTGTAGCCCGAAGGGCGTTTTAGCCTTTGTTTCTTTTCTTGTCATGAGGGCCTATTTATAGGCGAGCTTCTCTTGTAATTTGGAATGATGAATGTGAATAAAAATTTCAGCTTTCTTGTTCTTCATCTCTTTGTGAGTTCTTGAGAGGAGAAATCCTAGGAGAGAATCTTGCATCACCCGTCAGCCATCGGTGGATTATGGGACTCGTGGATAGTACTTAGTATTTCCTTCTTCCTCCTTCCTTGGCTTCCACCGCCGGCCACCCTCTCCAAGCCAACCCAAACCGCCGGATTACTCTTCCTCCACCTTCCCACCGCCGGTTTTCCCCTACCATCCCTCCTCTTCCACCGAACCAAGCCCCACCTCCCCTCCTCTAGCCGCCGACCACCCAGGTTCACCCTAGCCGCCGGTCAATCTAGATCCAAACCCTAAAGTTCCCTTTCAATTGACCACTTCAACACTTTCCTAAAATATCCCCATAATAATTTGGGAGTCTATTATTTGAATTCATATTTATTTGAATTTCAAACTCTTCCCTTATTAATAAGCCCTAATTTAGGAAGCCCCTAAATCTTTCTAAATCTGAAATAAAAATCAGATTTAATGGCCTAATCATATTTATTGCTTGGGTCCACATACATTGTATGTGGACAACTTCTCCTCCCTTCCTTTATGGCCGGTCCCCTCTTCCCCTCTTTGCTTAATTATTTCCTTCCTTCTTGAAGGCTTCAATTAGGGAAATAATTAAACATCCTTCGTCCCATCCCTCCTCTCTTATTTGAATTTCAAAATTCAAATCCCTGACTTAAATAACTCTGAAATAAATCCAGATTTATTTATTTTAATCCTTCCCTCCATCACAAGCTACATAATCTGAGACTAAACTCAGATTTTATTTTTGGAAGGCTTTCCCCCAACACTATTCTTCCCAAACCGTGACCTAGAGAGGAGTTGACGGCCTTCACAACGTTGCTGTCCAGCTTCTATTCGTCCATGAAGTGCTGTCAGAAAACTACAGCAAATTTCCTTGCTGTCCCACAGTCCAGAATTTCTTATTTTGCTGTCCAAAATTTTTGGAGAGTCCAAACTGCTGCCAAGGCTCTCATAGCAGCTGTCCAGTCATCCCTGGGCGCTTTCCAGAAGAATTCCAGCAGCAGAAACAACAGTTCTGTTGCTCCAAAGTCCTCCAGCTGCTGCCCCAATTCGCCAAACAGGATCCAGGGTGCTGTCCAGAGGAAATTCCGCCAAAGGATGCGACTATCCTGATCGGAAAGGCCTTCTAGTTGCTGCCCCAATGCCCCCAAACCCTGGATTTGGTGAACTCTTTCCGTCACTCTTTTATTTTCCTAGTTACTTTCAATTGTGGAATTAATTGATTCACTGAGATCGTATTAGTCCTCCACTAAAGCCTAGTAAATTATAGAGTTATGTGAGGGATCCTTCATAGTATTAATCTCATTGTTAGTCTAGGGATTTATTGTTGAAACCATTCATGTATGCAACGTTAGATTAAATTGACTGTTTTACGATCTTAACATCTATGCATGTGATTTAGCCTAAGCTTGTCTTATCGCTCTTTTTATTTTCTTTTGTTGTTCAAAATCAATATAAAAATATAATTATTATGCTCTAAATATTAAACGTGCAAATTCATTAAGTAACTCATCTTTGCATGTACGTTTCACATCAATATCATTTGACTGTTCTTAACAAACTTTGTTTTAAAACAATTTTTTTCAATAATACTATTTTGATTCCACTTGAAATATGAATTTGAATAATGACTCTAGTATATCTAATTTTATAGATGAAAGTTTCTATGCAAAATTTTCAAGATATGGCTCATTTTATACGGAAATAAAATAATCATTTTTCTTGCAGCCACAACACAGTCAATCTGATGAGGACATTGGAAAATCAACGGCTACGATCTAGAGCTTATTTTATTTTTTTTATGTCTTATGTACTAGTTTGTCTTATATTACTGTTTTTCCCATTTTACCCTTAGAAGTGGTCATTTGGTGTTGTAGCCCGAAGGGCGTTTTAGTCTTTGCTATTTTTCTTTTCATGAGGCCTATTTATAGGCTAACTCTCTTGTATTGTGGAATGACAATTTGATAATGAAAATTTCATGTGTTTTCTTCTTCTTCTTGTGTGAGCACTAGAGAGAAGGGAGAGAGAGCTCAAGGTGAGCAAGCGCAATACCCACTAGTCGTTGGAAGAGTCTGCGACTCGTGATTTTAAGTTATTTTCTTCTTCTTCTCCCTTTTCCCCATTCCACCCGACGACCCCTCCTAGCTCTTCCACCGCGGCCATCCTCCCCACCCAAATTCTCTCCCAATTCCACCACCTCAAGCTCCAACCAACGCCCCAAGCCCCTCTCCTCCAACCCGACCCCAACTCCTTTCCACCTTCCCTTGCCGCCGCCCCTTACATGGCTCTCTACCATTGTGATGACTCCAAACATCATCATGACTCCCTAGAGTGAGTCAAGCAAGATAGGAAAGGTTTTCCATCATTCGAAATTCAAATTTGAATTTTAAAAATTTTCCTAATTTGCAAAGTTTCAAATAAGGAAAGTTTATAAATTTCAATCCGATTTAATTTTAAATTAAAGAGGGTTGTTTATTCTCTTTCCTATGTGGCAAACCTCGTTTGGAAACTTATTCAAATCTTCCCCATACTCATCCTCCCCTCATGATGCCGTCGGCCATCCATTAATGGGTTAAATCCTATTGCTTCCTATTAAGGCTCCATCCCACTTGAATTTGAATTCAAAATTCAAATTAAATCCCGCCAAATCACCTTGAATCTGAAATAAATCTCATATTTAATTCCCACTTGCAATTAATGCCTTGGTTGAATGTGGACACAATTTTCCCCTACATCTCTTGGCCGGCCCCCATATCCCTCTTAGTTAATTTTCTTTCCAAGTTATGCTCCTCAATTAAGGAATTAACTCCCCAATTTTCCTCAATCCCTCTCTCTATTGCCTCCCCTTTCTCCCCTCACCCTCTCTCTCCAATTGAATGGGGAATTTAATTAGATTGGCCACCTAAGCAAGTACCTGAATCCCAAAATTTTCTCCCAAGCAGCCCAACATGATTCCCCACTAAAATCCCTTAGTTCCTGTGCAACCCGGAGAGGAAAGTCACTGATTTCCCCTCCTTCCACTTGCTGTCCAGAAATCTGGATTGGTTCTAAGTGCTTCCCTGAAATTTAGAACCTAGAAAGCTGTTGTTCAGGGCCTTCAGATTGCTGTCCAAGGAGTCCAAGTCAGGTTCGCTTGCTGGCTACCACTCAGAAGCTGCCAAACTGCTGTCCAAGGTTGCTGTCCACAAAGTTCCGCAGAACTCCTTAGTCATTCCAGATTGTTGTCCTAACTTTGGAGACTAAGGAGGTTGCTGATCAGAGGCTTCCAACTACTGCCTAATGCTTGATAATGGTGAACTCTTTCCCTAGTCTCTTATCTTCATAGTTATCCTACTATGTGATTTAATTGATTCATAAGAAGCTTGTTAATTACTCTCCGCTAAAGCTTTAGAAATTAGAGAGTTGGGTGAGCGATTCTATCATAGTGACTAATCTTGTTTTTAATCTAGGGATCTCTCGTTGAAACCATCCATGTATGCAATGTTAGATTAATTGAACCGTTTTACGATCTTAACTCCTACGCATGTGATTTAAATCGGCATAAGTCTTATTTAATATTATTCTTGAAATATTAAGCGTGCAAATCTCCTTAAGCAACTCATCTTCACATGTTTGTTCTACATCACAATCTCTTTAAGAAACAATTACATAAATTGACATAGAGATTTAAAAAAAAAAAAAGATATCAACCATCGAATGGGACTGTTGGAACCAATGAGAGATAGATGTTCGACCTTGACGACAGGAGGCTTGGACCGATAATAGCGAAGACTGCGAACAGGGAGCTATGTTGTGGTTTCAAAGGGATGACTGCAAGAGGGGCTAGGCCAGTAACGAGGGGGTGCCAATAACCTCAAATGAGGGTTGAGACTATGATGAGAGGGAGGAGGGGCTTGAGGAAAGAATTTTGGAATACACATGAGGGGTAAATAATCATTCTTCCTTTCAAATTCCCTCCAATTGCCATCATGAGCAGTCACTTAGAAAGACTTCAAAGAATTCCACATCGGCTACTCTCCTCTAAACTCACAAACCTTCAGCAAGCACTGACAAACTTCTGCTAATAAACTCTGTTGGCATGGCCAAGATAAGGACAGCCACCAATAGTCTTCAACATCATCGAACATTAATAACTTTGATGGGTTATTAATTATTGAAAAATATAAAGTTATATTTTTCAACAAACCAGATACAAAATAAAAAAACTAAGAAATGGACATTCATAGTAATAATAACAAATACTTAATATAGCAAAAAACATTTTTACATATATGCTTCCCAATTCCTCACATTGAAAAAAATAATGGGCTTACTTTGATGAGATTGTTAACTCAATTTATGATAAATAATTACCTTTAGACCATAGAGCTCAAGCAAGCACTTCATCTGCAGATCCTCTCCTCTACTTGATGGCAACCCTGTTAAACCGAACAAAGTTCAGCATAAATTAGATAAAACTAGCTGCACACAATAAATTAGAAACATAACAACATCCTAAAAGAAAGATTACTTATTAGTGCAGTGACTGCAGTCAAAATAAAGCTACTCTTTTGCTGGTTAGACCTGTGAAACTTAAAAACATACTAACACTTTGTTATAAAAAAACACATAATTACCATAACTTAAATTCAATGATAAGTTTCAAATTCTTTAATATCATGTGACATCAAAAGAAAGACTGCTTATTCATGCAGTCAAACTTAAGTTACTCTTTTGCTGGTTAGATCTGTGGTACCCAGACGTACTAACTCTTATTACAAGCACCAAATACTTTTTTTTTTTTGAATTTTTTTTATAAGCATTAAATACTTAACATAACTTAATTTCAGCAAAAAGGTTCAACCACGCCAACAAAAAATAGTAGGAATAATGTTGATAATATGTGACAACATCTTACATATTAATTGCAGATTCAATAGTACATGTAACCACACAATAGTTGTATACAAAATATCGCCAGACTTGTAGACTTGGCCTTATTAAAGTATAGACACGATAAAGAAATAGGAAATATACAACAGATATATGAGGCAGTCTATTCTTGGACGAGTAGGATATTCATATTGTGAATTCATGCAAACACAATATTTTTATTAGATACAAAATTATAGATGTATGTTATAATTCAAGCCTTGAAAAGGTAGGATACCATTGTAGGGGCATGCCATGTACCAAATACATGCATATATATTTTCCCTACCGACCTAAAAGGATATATGCACGAAAATTTGCTAAGTTTCGCTTGCAACGCTAAGAAAACCGCGCTAAGAAAATGTACATGTACCTAGGTTTTGCCCTGTCATGCTAAGAAAAGCGTGTACAAGGCTCACCGCCGCGTCACAAGAATCGCACCGAACTCCCTCCCACCACGCTAAGAAAACCGCGCATAGATAGTCTGTTTGTCGCGCCGCAAGTGCCAAAAATGGGATTTAGGGATTTTTAAGTTTAGGAAATTTATACCTTGGGCGAGAGTCGACAGCAACGGTATTGAGGCGACGACGATAATGAAAATGAACAAAAAATTAATTTCTTCTCTTTTCTCTTCTCTTCTCCGTTCTTCTCTCTTCTTTTTTTTTTACTAATAATAATAATAATAATAAAATCAGAGGGAGAGAGAGTTGTTTGGGCGTGTAGGGTTGAGTTGGTAGATTAGAGAAGTAGTGGGTTGTTTGGAGGCTAAAAGTTGATGTATGGAGTGGTATTCTCAATACTAAGAGATACTGGAAGAAGTTAGGTGCGGGTTGGAGAGGGATTGGCAGCTGAGTGCTAGCATCGGCTGGGTGTGAAGAGGGGGTTGGACTGCTATGATGAGAGTGGATCGGGGGAGTTGTGGGCGTCAGCTTGCAGACGAGAGAGGAGGTGGGTTCAATTGAGGGAGGAAGAGCTCAGTTAGCTGTGGAGTTTGGTATAGGAGAGGATCGGGGCTAGGAATTGGCACAACAGGCATCTTTTGGAGCTTGGCGTAGTGAGAAATCAGGATTGGGAATTTGACGGGTGAGGCTTCGGTTGTGGTGCTCAAGCGGAATCAAACGGGCCTGGGCTATAAGCGCGGAATCTAGTGCGAGAATCTGTGTGGGTCTTGAGTTTGGCTGAGAGGGTGGCTGATTGGAGGCTTGGTGAGCTCGGCATAATAGGTAGAAGCGGGCGTCAGCTTGCAGACAGGAGAGGAGGTGGGTTCGATTGAGGGAAGAGGGTTGATTAGCAGTGAGGAGCGGGATTGAGAATAGTAGATCTCAGCCTATTGTTAGGAGTCGAACAGAGGAGGTGTGATCGGAGGCCTGTGAAGGGATCTTCGATTGGGTTGTGAGGTGGAGCGTAAACGTGTGTGGGGAAGAAGATCGGGTCGAGATTGGAGGCTGAAAACGAGTGAGTCGGATATTTGGAGGAATCGAACAGAAAAAGGTTGTTCTCGCGTGAGGAAGCAGAAGAGCCTTTGGCTTTGTTGTGTTTCTCATTTTAAAAGTGGGAACGAGAGTGCAATCGAACAGGATTTGTATAGAAATCGCATGACGTGAACGACTATAGCGTCAGCGTCGAACCATAGGTACGAGCACATTTTTTTAATTTCATTATTATTATTATTACATAAGTAATAAAAATAACATAATTTTTTTCTTTCGACTCGATTTGTGTCTGTCGTCGCCATGGGATCCACGGCAATTTTCCTGCGTGAGGTCCCTATGCAATAGTACAACCATTTTTATATAATTTGGACGTTATGAATGAAACGACAAAGTTCGTTTTTCAATCGGACGTCGTTTGGGCAACGTCGCACAATATTTTTGGACACAGATCGTCGATTTTGATCGTCTTCGCCCAATTCAATGGTGAGGGGCTCTCTCTTAGCTAATTCAATGTTTCGATTGCAACGGCGCAGTCTGTTTGGCGATTGGAGGTCATTTGAGCACTTTAGTAACGCGCCGTGCTTGTCGACTATTGCCTGCATCGCCGATTTCAGCCCCCTTTCGCGTTTCTTAGTGCATGGGTCAACAAGAATAAAATTGACTCAGAATAATAAAACTTATTTGGGTGATATGCAGATCAATATTGAATCTTGTACCAGCAAAGTTCATTAATAGAAGTGGGAATATCTATCTGAAAAAGAAAAGTACATCGCTAAGTTTATTAACAGTATAAAGAATGCACTTTAAGGATAATTAAGAAACATAGTTACAATAATTAATTTCCCAGTAAAAAATAGTGAAAAAAAGCAGAAAGGATAGATGAAAGACCTCCATTGAAACAAGAAACTAGTAGCTAATGCTGAATTGCAGAATGAAACTACTCGGATAAGGACATTAATCTAGATACGTGCAACTTGAAAGCCAATTCAACTTGGGACTATTCCTTAATTTCATCTTAAGCAAATACCTCATAATGTTTAGCTATATAAGTTGTTTTTGAAAGTAGCGGCTGAGGAATTTAATCCAGCAAAAGGAAAAACTAGAATGTGATCTGAAAACTGATATTACATGGACTTTAATCCAATAAAAAGAAAAAACTGTGACATGATCCAGAAACGGTGGCAGCTACAGATGTGAATGAGGAAACACAGATCATCAAGAGCTGATAATGCGATGAAGATACAAATAAGAAAACACAGATCGCCTAGGTTTCATGACATTTATGTCAATGAGGAAACACAAATCATGGAGCTGATAACTGAAGATGCGAATAACGAAACAAGGATCGCCTTGGTCACATTACATTTATCTTCACAAAGTCATTGTGTTTGGCCACATCCCTTGTGTTTTCGGCAGAAGGCTTTATGATTTTAGACTCTTTCAGATTTGTTTTGATCATGATTAAATTCAACTATCAAAATTTTAGATTCCTCCCAAGGGCCTCAAATTTTATCCTGATATAAATTCCAGAACGATTCAATATTAACTTTGATATACATTACATACAGAGATGATTAATGAAGGAAGGCATCATTGTGAAGCATAACACAAAACGGTTACATGCTTACTTAATAAAAATTTAATGATGGCTATGATTTCACTTGACATAGCGGATAAGTAAGATTTTACCATTGATAAATCCTATGTGTGTGAAAAAAGGAGTGTGAAAAAACTAAAGTGGAGATATAATATGACTACAACAAGGTATATCACAACCATATCAGAATACATGAGACATATTGTAAAATTCTAGAAGTTAGCGTAATCCATGTTGACTTATGAAGCAAAAATTCACAACGATTAGGCGATATAATAAAAAATGCTAACAACTTTAACAGTAAACAACAACCTTCAAGCTCTGTAAGACGATGCTGAATTAAGCTTTGGAACCGACTTTCCTTTCTGTTCCTTAATGCTGTACTAGACAAGTGGTTATCTTGAAGCTCCACTAGTGCATCTTCAAATTCTGTAATTAAATCACCTCCATGTGGGGCCCCATAAAGCTACACAAGAAAGATATCTCTAGGATCATACATTTAAAACCAAACACAAAATGAGTAAAAGGCATAACAAAATAGCTAAATGGAAAACTTGTATTCAAGTTAATTTAAACACGGATTGCAGCAAGGTTTTTTTTATATATGTTTATTTATTTTATTTTATTTTTTATTGCATCAAGGTTCATTATTCCCTAAACCTACAATTAGGTCCCTCATTTCAGATGATAAATGAATATGTCAAGTTTAGAAATCTTTGCTATTGTGTTGTCTAATTCCCAGATATAAATTTGTAAGAAAAACATGCTCCTACATTTCTATACAAGGGAACATAGCTGGAAGGCCACCAAACCCCAATGGCTTCCATAGCCAATGAGGCTGGTCATGAAAACAAGATACGAAGCAGTAACATTCTGTCCCAGTAGCTCCGGAAATTTGAAGATGTTTTGGTTGTTGTAAACTTTCATTAAAGTTCATTTCTAGGATGATGCCCAAGCAGAAAAAAATATGATAAGATCCTATATTTGCAATTTTAATAATAAAATATATCTACTTACAGGTTTCAAAAATTAAGGGACCTAGTTTCAACTTAAAACTTGGGTAAAAAAAAAGGATTTATAAGTAAAATTCCTTAAGCACAATCCTTGCTTGGTCAAAGTGCAGATGCTAACATCGCAGAAATTCATAAAATAACAAAAGAAAAAAAATGCCTGCAAGCAAACTTTTGAATGAGAAGAGCATCCAATTTTGATGTCAACCATAAAGAAAATATGAAAAAAGAATGTTCAGTTCTAATACATACAAACTGTAAAAGATGTCTTTCAGGATGACCACCCTATTCTAGTTCTCTAAAATAAAGAATGCTATACACAGACCAAAATAAAATTTAGGAAATACTTTTGGACGAAACAAATGAATAATAAGCATTTTTCAAACTTCCATTTGTCAGTCAGCTGCCAGCCAAGTTTCAGTTCAATAAAATTTTGCATGCCATGTATAATGAAATATTTGGTGTGAATGAGTTATTCATAATTTATGGTCAGAGAACAAAATTTAAATATGATTAAGGAAGTAAAAACCAAAACTATTAAGATATGCAAGCATCAAGATGCGCTAAACCTTCATGTACGGAACTCAAAACAACTACCAGATTTCTTCCAACTAATCATACAACTATCTGTTCTTCAGCTAACACCAGCTTAACTTTGATCTTTGTGCTTAGGAAACACATTGATTGAAAAGATACTCCACATAATCTTTCAACTACCTGCCGCCACAATGCCTGGATCCACTGCCTACGATAACTAGTGCAAACTGCAAACCCTACCAGCACAACTTTCTCCATTCCCCACAACTCAAGCTTCAGTAAACAAAAATAAAAAATAAAAAATGCGAGCAAAAAGCCTCCAAACCCTGGAAAATTTAATCTTCCCTAATCGCCCACTCACCCTAAATCCTAACTTTTTAACAAAACGCCGCTGCTCGATTCACATCAAAAGCGTTTCGCAAGCAATGCCCCACAAAAAAACCTATATAACTTGCAATTTCAACTAATAATAGATTATATAAATTCCACAAGTAACAGCGTTAAAGAACGAACCGACTGGTCCAAAGAATCGGGAGAACCGAGCTCCTCCGCCGCCGCTGGCTCGCCATCCGGCAAAACCCCATCGGCGGCAGCGTCGTTGTTGTATATGGAAGAAATGGCGTGAAAGACATCGGGGGGAAGCGGAAGGTTGCGAGAGATGAGGTTGAGTGCACCGATCAGCGTCTTCGTCTTCTCCGCGTGCTCCACGGGGATAACGATCTCAGCCGGAGCAGTCATTGCCCGATTCCGATCTTAGGGCTGTGTTTAAAAAGGGCAACGGTCTCTTCTACTCTTTTCAGTTTTCACCCTTAAATCTCTCTTTCCCGGGAAATTCAAGCTCTCTCTAAACTTTCGCCTTCAGAGAGCCCTAGCTCTTTTCTTTCACCCACCGGCTTCTCAGCTCTCCTACATAAATTACATAATGTAATATTTAACAATATATAATAACAATAATAATAATAATAATTAGTATTCTATGCCGGATGATTGTATAAATGGACAATAGAATAGCTGAGCTTGTGGTATTGTTAATTTTTCATATAATTTATCTTAAATGTTTTTGAATTAATAGAGCTATGATTTAGGTTTAGGACGGCTTTCTTACTGCTTCTTAAAGTAATTTTTTAGAGCAAAAATTTTAATTTTTATACTAAAAAGCTGCTTTAAGAAACAATAAAAAAGACGTCACAAACGAAATCTTAATATAGTTTTTAAGTGTTTTGCTACTTCAAATACAATACAATTATTCAAAAGCTGCAATATTATAGGTTTTATATTACTCTTAAAGCATAAGATGTAATATTATAAATTGTAAATGGAGTGTAAAAAGAAACAATATGATCTTGAGTGATAGCAAAGTTATGATGTTTATTATTGTTGTGTATCAAAATATTCATGACAATAGAGTAAGTGAATTTATTGCTTTAATATTACATGACGATTTAATACATAAATAAATAAAAGATATGTTGTAAGTGATATTAGAGTTTTTATATAAAATTTTGAAAAAAAATAAGAAATTATAGGGCCTCACTAAGCTGAAATGATTCTAGTAATATTTAGCAATGGTTAAATGAAGTCATTCCTTGGGGGAAGGTATTAATACAATATAGTAAATATATAATGTAAAGAATATGTTACATGTTAAACGAGTCATTTAGCATGGGAGCTATTTTTAAAAGATAATTTGCTTATTTGTTTAACCATACTCTATTGGTGAGGGAAGACCGAAAAGTTAAGCTTAAATCTTAGTTTGAACGTTAAGAGTCACAATTTGTGTAGACGGCACACATTAATCTTACTAGCGATGACGTACCATGGAATTATTAGTGTGGTTTGTGATGAACTTGGTGGGCATTGGTGTGGCTAGGCAACAACAATTAGAGGATCATAGTTAGATAGAGAAGGTCAGGAAGTTTTTTAGTTGGGCGGTGATGAGCGGAAGACTTTAATCAGGTAACACTGGTCTAGTTGAAGATGCTACTCATATGACGATGATCAGATAATCATAGTCAAATGAAGGTGGTTAAAGGGTAATGGTCATACAATGGCAGCTATGCAGTGCTTCAACGGTGGTTGTTAGGAGGTGGTCTAGTTATGGGAGTTCAATGGTCGCCCGATGGTCATAGTTAGGCTCTTATTTGGCGATGGTTCAATGGTGGTGCTCAGGTGGAGCTTTGAAATTCTTCAAGTGTCTTAACTCTTGTAAAACTGTCTTTTTAAAAAGATAAGAATGAGTTTCAATATTAAAAGAGTATAAGTCATGTTTTATTTTATTGTCTTATTTTTTAATGATAATATAATAATAATGTTAAATTAATGAAATGAATGAAAATTTACTTATCAATGGACCTAGCAACATTAACGATATGATTTAAATATGTGCATCATCATTATGAATCATAGTATGGTGTGACAAATTTTCTTTGGATTTTAAGGTAAATAATTATACATTCCATCTTAGAGATGCAATGTATATGAGGCAACTCTTATGTATTTTAAATTCATAACAAGTCTAATCTCCACTTTATTCAAAAGTTTTCTCTTCAGAGATGCAATTATCTGTAGGGGCTTGCTCCTTTAGAAACCCAAGATTCCAATATAAAATAAACCCTATTTTAGTTTGCTAAGATAAGGAAAAAAAATTTTGGACGTAGACTAAAGCTATTCATAGGTTAGTTTCGTATTTAAAATGATAGCTGTATGTGAATATTATCCTTCAGGGTGAATTTCAGATCCCTTATGCCGAATTCGAATATGAAAAAAAAAACTATTTCTTTTCTCAAGTCAATAATACTAGTGTTAGTTTATCTTTCAGAGCAATTAACACTAATTATATAGATTTGATTATAGAAACACTTAATCCAAAATTATTATTCATATCATTTAAATGGCCCACACTCCTTATCACCATTTCGCTTACTTTGTACTATTAATACTTACAATTATGAGGCACCATTTATCAATATTTACATACAAGCATTCATATATACATCCACACGTAGCTCGATCAAGTACAAGGATTTCCACTAGAACTTGGCAAAACACAAGCATTCTCCTTTATTCCATGAATAGGAGGAAAAACCTTTTACACCAGCTTCTCTCCTTAACGGGTAATGGAGACACTCCAACCACCTTCATTAGTAATAAAGTCAATCAGCACTTCTACACTATACAAGAAACTTGCTATTCCAAAAACACAATACCATGTCATTATCTTCCTACCTATAGGCAAGAATCCATCCACTCCTTACAAAATCTACTAGGAAATGAAGATATTCTTCCTAATGTAAAAGCAAGTCAAAACTCTTTTGAACTTTTTTTTTTTTCTTTTTTTATCGACCGCGATGAACGCAGTAACCCTTTTGAGCTTTGGAGATGCTTAATGGCTATCATTTATGGTTATATCTAAACAACCTAGACAAATAAGTAGATTACAAGATGAGTAAAGTAAGCATAATCAAATAATAAGTAAACCAATGGGGATAAGTAAGAATCACCTTATAAAGAGACAAATAAGATTTTTGACCTAATATTCAACACTTGTATTCTTTGTTCTTATCCATTTCAGTAAGTATATAAAAATTAAACCCTCCAAATGATCATATCATTATTGGCATTAATATCATGAGACCATGGGGTATAAGTACCCTTACAATAAAGCTAATTACAAACTAGACTTTAAGTAAGCTTGAGCCTTGAATTTACACTTAAATCTTCTCAAATTTAACCCTTTGGGGCTCATCTCCAAATAACCAAAATATCTAAGCAGATCTAAGTCCCAATATCTTCATTGTCATCTTCAACTGAACTATACTTTTTGCAGAGGCTGAAAAAATGGCTGTTGCTTATAATTTGGTTGCATTACTTGCTGCAAGTATTGCAACATTTACATTTCAGCTTCTGCAGCAATGGATGGTGTTGATAGATAGTTACTATTCGTTTAGTTCATCGCAGAATTTTCTTGAATTTTATGTGAATGTGCACAGTGAAATATATTTCCTGTTGCTTTTGATTTGTATAGCTCAAACTCAGCTCGACAAATAGCTTATAAGCGAAGCATGATGAGCTAACAAGTCAATTTTAAGAGTTAACCTTCATTCAAGTCGTTAGCTTGCGAACTAACACATTTAAAAATTATTACTGTAAAATACAATTTAAAATTATCTAATTGATTCTTTATTTTTTACTTTTCATTTTTTCGTTCTTTTTTATAATTTTACTACATAAACAATTTGAATCATAATCGTTCTCTTTCGTTCTAAATGAGACTTTTTGAGAGCAGTCCAAACTTTCAAAATTAAGCTCAAGCCGAAGGTCGAATTCAATTAATTAATCAAGCTAAAGCTAGTGGTGAATGGAGCTTGGCTCGCATCCTTTACACCCCCCATTTCAATGAACTTTCAAATTTTAGTAAATTCTTTTAATCATCTTAATGAAAGAGAAGACAATCAAATACTAATTAATGACTAGAGCTACTATGGTTCACCACACCACCCCATCTTTCCATTACAATGTATAGCATAAATAGTACAAAATAACTTTCAATTGAAATTTCTCTTTGAAGACAATAAGTTAAATGCCAATAAACCCATGAGGAAAGCATGCAATCATATGTTATAAACTAATGTGTTGGAGTCAAGAGGGTACATTATGAGCCTGTTCAATCCCTTCCCCTCTCTTTCCTACAAAGAATCCTCCATGCACATTGATTCAGTGAATGCTGAACAGCTGAAGGACTATAAAGTTCTCTTTTTTTACCTTCTGCATTCTTCCAATAAAAGTTCATACAGTAAAAGAAGGTAAAAGGACTAAAATTAGCTGTTTAGCTTGAGAAATCTATCCAAAGTTGCTTCGTTTTCTGTTGCTTGGCCCTGGGATTTTAAGTCTGAAGACCTGGTGATGAAGACAAACTCAGAAGCCAAAGGCAAGTGATCACTTCCAATATTCTGCAATTGAAAGGCAACAGAATTCAAACCGAGGTATTAATGAGTTTTTGAAGTACAACAAAGGTTCACAAGTTCTGATGTGTAGCTCAATGTTTAGATGCCGTCAAAATACAAGCTATTAGTTGTATCAATCCAAGGGAGTCCTCTCAAGTTTGTAAATAGAATAACCGAAGGCTCATAAAAATGAAAAATTATTCTGTGCGGATCTGGACGGCGTCTGGAAACCAATCAAAATGTTCCACGTCACTTTTTTGCTTGGTACTAGGTGACGTGGTGCGTTCTTGTTGGTTTCCGGACCGTCCAGTGTCCGCACAGAATAATTTCTCCATAAAAATTGAAGTTTTGCATGAAGTCCCCAGAATTTATGAGAGATTATATTGCAATGGTAAGACAGTTTCAAACAATTGTTGCCTTTTGATCGAACTTATCATCTGGCATAATGAAAGATGTAAACATTTGTTTGATTTTCAGGGTGAGCCTAGGTGTTCCTATTAAGATTGCAACTATGGCATAAGTTATGACAGAAATTCACTAGCTATGTTCAAAAACCAAGTAAAATTTTGAGTGTCTTGTTTGTAATCATATTGAATGTTCTTAACATACCCTACAGTGAGTCAAATTAAAGCACTTAATGTAGCACACGATACTTACAATCACGACACCATCAAGCTCAAAATTCACCATGCTATGCTCGAAAATTCGAGTCTCTTATCGAATGAATGACATTCATATTGTGGAGTCAACATAAAGCACATAACAACTTGTGAGAGAATGTACCCTTCCATCTATTCCAAATGATAGAATATATAACATATTAAGCTTTTTGTGGATTCTTTCTTGATCTGTTAAGCTTGACCTCTTTTAAATAGGGATACTAATGGCTATGAACAGAGGAAATTATTGAGAATAAAAATAAAGCTTCTTTCATGATTAAAAAAAAAAGATTCATGAAGAAGAATAGGAGGAATCATGCCGACATCATTGATTACAACTCAAGTTTCTAATCCCAATTCTTTTTACCATATTTCCACCTCAATCATCTTGCTCCACCATTACTACTAGTTTCACTTGTGTGAATGTTCTGATCCAAATTTCTGCTTGATTCTTATGTGTTGTGCACTTATGATCTCAAATCTCGTCGTTCAAGTTTCTACTAGAAAGGGATTCTTCAATTATCACTGCAGTATGAGTTTGTCATTTTTCTATGCTTCATCATAAGGATTATATATTTGTTTATGTCAGATACTAAGCTCGCAAACCTTATGACATTTTTTATTTTGCATCTGATTTACATTAAACCATGTTACATTATCTTCATAAAAATTCACTAAAACGAGTTGCAATGAATAATTGGAGCAGTTTGGTTAACCTATCTTTTTAAATGGAATCATAAAAACCAATAGGAGGCCAAATAAATAGAGTAAAAGAATTTAAAAACTATTATTCAAGAATAAGGGGATGCTCCTCTTCTGGTAGGTATAACGGAATCAAATTTATAAGCATATATCAAACTTATGGGAGGTTCATGGAAAATGGGCTAGAAAGGCATTGTCAATATTGGAGAGAGAATTTGAATTTATGCCACAAAGATCCACTTGTGAATAGGGCTGCAAGCGAACGCAAGCGAACCAAACGTTCGACAAGCTACTCGTTGTTCGGTTCGATTAAAGCTCGTTTGTGATCGTTTAATTAACTAAACAAACAAACTTGAACAATATTTTAAATACTCGATTCTTAAATAAACAAACTTGATACTGATATTAAATGAACACAAACATGAACACTCACATACTCGGCTCGGCTCAGCTCGTTTGGAGCCCTACTTATGAAGATGATTTTTTTTTTTTGTTAGGGCAATTAATGAAATAAATCTAAAGAGGAAATAAATATCCCATGTAACTTTTATTGATTTTGAGAATGTATATGACTAAGTGCCATTAAAATTAATGTGTTGTGTACTAGGAAATAAATATGATGAAACATTAACTATTAAATGGAAATACCGAGAAGTCTTGGTTTTCATTCAATCTTCAATGAATTTGATTTGAACTTATTTCATGAACCAAGTACCAATGCTTTGAATTCTTCTCTCGTTCCACTCATGAATTTACATCCACCACTTTACTAAATAGTTCTACATATTTTGTTCAAGAAGTAAAATTTTAAATGAAAATATTATGTCCACTACTAAGAGTGAATATTACAAATATCTTATGCATTGGCATGAAATATCTATATGTGATATGTCTTGGATCACAGAATCAGAAAATCTACCTGATAGAAAAGGTTTTACGTTTCGAATAAGGGGATAGTTTGAATAACTGGTTCAAATATCTTTCTCTAATTCCTATGCATTTTAGGCAGCTCTTTAATTGTAATCAAGGTCCTACAACTATAAATTGCAAATCATGGCTAGGATAATGAGCCATATAAAGAATATGTTGTCTTCTCTACTGTTTAGTGTTTATGCTAATTTGGTTGGGTTACTGTTGGTCCATTGTTGGTTATCCATATTTGCTACATTTGACTCTATTTCCTTGAGTTAATGGTTAATTGTTCATTTAACCTGCCGGTTCATTGTTCCCTCCAACCTCTACTTCCATTCCTCTTCCCATTCTATTTCTTCTAATGAACGGAATCTATGCATCTTCTATTTTAATAATTGCAAACTTGTGTCGTCCCTTGCATCTAATTGATCTAGCAGATGGAATTTTCAATAACTTTAAGAATTGGTATGTTAATTGTAAATCATGAATTGTTGTTCTAATACTATAATTGATACAGGGGTATGCTTCTAGTATTGTTGTCAATTTTAGCATTTATTTGAGCTATAAATTGTGTTTTTGGTATTGCAACTACTATCAAAATTTCGACCTTTGGAATTGGAAGCCTGTCGACTTTGGGTCTTTTTGTGTTATAAAAGGGGATATAGGGGCAAGTAAAAGAAACTAATATTTAATGGAATTTCTAGTCAATAAGATGGAAATTCTTTGAGTGTAGCATAAGCATTGATTGACAACTTCAAGGGGAAGCCATCTTCTTGTACTAGTATGATGTATTGATGTTTTATCTAGTGAATCCTTTGCTTGTTACCTTTTTATTTATATATTTTTGTGTTTGTTTTAATATTTCATTAGATTTGAGTAAATAACATAGAATTTAGATTTCTACTTATGGCGTGAATATTTATTGAAGTATATTTTCATATGATCTAAATTTTCTCACAAGATTTCTAATTCAAGATGATTAAATCATCATTTGAGATAAATTTATGTATTTATAATTTCTATCAAATTAGATGAATTTTTGCCTTAAAATTTTGTGGATTGCAAATTTAGGCTTGTTTGTAATAGTGCAATGATTCCACATAAATTATGCTTTAGCTTCTACGTCTTTATTTGTATGTCATTCCTTGTTAAAAGATGAACGAGCAACATGAACTTTGTGTAATTGTATTTATGGTCTGGTGTTAGCTGTTACGAGCTCTCTTGATTCATAATAAGAATATAAAAAATGCAATTGACTAAATACTTTAATGCAATTGACTAGATACTTTGCAGTGAAATCAACTCAAATAACTAGTAAAATAAGTGTCATGCAGTCAGTGTATGAAATTTTATATAATTAAATATAAAGGTTTCCACTCAATCGCGCTCGCCTGCCCTCTACGTTTGCTCGGGTCGCATGTCGGGTCGGGTCCTGATTCAGATTTTTGACCCATTTGTGTAATCGGATTGGGTTCGGGTTGAATCAATCGCAGGAGAGTTAGTTTCAGGTTGGACTTGAACCCAACCCAAAAACCCATTTTGACACCCCTAGACAGCAACAATGAGCTTTGTATAAAGAGTGGCTTCAAATTGCTGATTCTATGAGCAGTAAAGACCATAATGCCTCAGAAAATTTGTGCTTTAAGAAACCAACATTAGATGCTATATAATAATGAATATGTTACCATGCTTGGGAGACCACCCATACTTTTCAATGTAGCAATGGGCAGTGTATCCAGAACCCTAGCTGGTGCAAGTCCTCCTGAATACCTTCAGAAAGACAAGGAAGATTAAACTTCATACATAATAATTCCAAAAATAGCTTAACAATGATATAGAAGCAGGGCAACCATAAATAGTCGACAGTTCCCATAAACTTCGAATGATAGGTAGTAGCTAATGGTTCTCCACACAAATCCCTAGTCCTTCCAGCACCCTGAGAAGTCATAGATTACAATCTTATAAGATCACCAACTTTCAGACAAATATAAAAGGAAAGCTAAATTTCTTTGAAAAAAGAAAGAATCTATCAGTACGCTGATGCGAGCATATGAGCTGTGTAATTTAAAAGGATGTGTAAGTAGCTTGCAGCTTGAATGACCAGTAGCATTTTTCAACTCCTCATCAGTCCACGAATGATTAATCAAGCTGAAATACGTGAGCCATGGTGATGGAACTGTTAAAGAACACCAACAAAACCAATATATCCAACCCAAAGAAGTGACTACACAATCGAACACACTAAAGACGAGATGGAATCATTCATCAGAAAAACTGTATGGATAGTCCATTACCCACAGAAACTATGAAGGGTAGGTTGAAATCTTTCCAGCCCAGACAGGAATTTTCTATCATGTCTGGTGATATTTAACTACAAAAGGAACATTAAAGCACAGAAAAAAATAAAAATAAAAAACATCAACTCATTTAATGGCAAAAATATGAGATGACATATCACAAATTAAAACAGAACTAGCATGTTCACCTCTGATGTTGACAAGAACTCATAAATCGCACTCTGCAAGTGGGAAGATGCAAAATTAGGGCTATTGATATTTTGTGAATAAATGTATCGCTCAATGCAGTGCAAAGATATGTACATCAAAGCTATTAGAACATACTTGAATATAGATGTCACTTAAATTCTGCGATGGTAAGAGGTTAATGCGTTTTGATAATAATCATAACTTTTCTTTACATACTCAAAATTATCCGACATTTGCACTTTAAATAGCATGCAGCACAAGCTACAGAATTATAAGAAACAGAAAGAAAAAAACACCATACTCTCGGGGTGCTGTTGAAATCACCAGCAAGTGCTATTGGTATTCCACCCCATTTCTCTGAAAGAACTTGTGCCTCCTGCAACAGTATGCGGACCTGTGGAAATTGGAAAAAAAAAAATACAAGCAAAAAAGTGTAACAGAATCTAATGGAATATTAGAAAGAACAAAAAACATTTACTTTTAACTAGGAATGATGTACATGGATGAAGCACAAAATCTTGCAAATGCATAAAAAAAGAATGGTGGAAATGCACCTTACATTTTATTTTAACGAAAACCTTACAATTGATCAAGAAATTTGACAAGGATTAAAGAATGGTGAAAGATATTTGGCTGAGCTTCTTCTTGTATCTGATGCTGTAAGAACCGGCAGGCCGGTTCAGCAGAACCGGACCTTATGTTGAAGCAGGGGAGCGGAACCGGGCCAAGCAGCAGACTGAGCAAACGAAATCCAGCAAGTTGAACGGGCGCAGGAGATACGAACAAGATCGGATCACGTAGATAAGTGAGGAAATGCGTGCAGGAGTGAAGACTGCGACTCCTCACATGAGATGATTTAGTTTCGCTTCATCCAATTTAACAAATGAACAAAAGAAACTGAGAAGGCAACAACCACGAGGAAGAAAGAGAAGGAAGGCAATAGAGAGAAGGAGGAAGGAAAGGAGATCGAGTGACAATGAAAGCAAGGAAAAAGGATTAGTCGATCGACAAGCAACGGGCGAATTGGAAAAGTAAGAAAATTTATTTTAATATTTATAAAATTAAATTGTAAAACAAAAGAATTAACTTAGAAAGAAAAATAATAATAACAATAATAAAATTTTAATTATTAAATTATTTATTAAAATTATCTAATTACAAATTTTTAGATATTATTAAGGAAGTTTAATCTAAAATTTATATTTTGAATATAATTTAGAAAATACTAAAATTGAAAATTTTATTAGTCAATTATAATGTATATATATTTTAAGTATGTACTTACATATTAATTAAAGAGAACATAATTAAATCGTGTATGAGATTTTAAAAATTAAATAAGGAATATATTAAATTTTTATTATGTTAAATCATAAATTAGACTTAGAAAAATAAATGCTTTATGCAACAACAACAACAACAACAACATCAAGCCTTTGTCCCACTACGTGAGGTCGGCTACATTTGGTTCCATAGTTTTAAAGTATGGCACATTAACTTAATTCCTCTATAATTCGCACACTCATGTACATCACTTTATTCTTAAAAATAGGAATTAATACACTCATTCTCCACTGATCTGACATCTTTTTAGTCTTCAAAATAGTATTAAAAAGTTTAGTAAGCCAAGAAATTCCTTTATCACCTAAGCATTTCCACATCTCTATTGGAATATCATCAGGTCCAACAGCTTCTCCACACTTCATTTTCTTTAAAGCATCTCTAATTTCGATTTTACTTATACGCCGATAAAAACAAAAATCTTTCTTTTCATTTAGGGTGATAAAGTCGCTAAAGTCAATCATATTTTCACATTCTTCATTAAAAAGTTTAAAAAAATACCTCATCCACCTTTGTTGAATATCATCTTCTAAGAAAATTACTTTTTGATCTTCATCATTAATACCCTTCACTTGAACTAAATTCTTACTACTCATATCTCTTTGTTTGGCTAATTTATACATATATCTTTCTCCCTTCTTTAGTATCTAATCTATTATATAAATCATTAAAAGATAAGCCCTTTGCATCGCAAATAGCTTTACTAGATTCCTTACGAGCCTCTTTACAGCTTTTCCAATTATCAGAATTTTTATATCTAAACTAATTTTTATAACAAATCTTCTTATTTTTCATCTTTTTTTGCACATTTGGATTCCACCAACTATTTTTAGTATTAGGAGATTTTTCCTTCAAAACTCTAAGCATATCTTTTACAATATTCTTAATATCACAGGTCACTTTTTCCCACATAATATCGGCAACCTCATGCACAGACAAAATGTTAAGATCTAAAATCTTACTCTCAAAAATACTTTTGTTAAAATTCTTTAAATGCCCTCATCTAATCCTAGAAAATCATTTTACTTTATTTTTTATTTTTTATTTTTTGGTCATTTATCGTAAAGTCCAAAACTAATATACTTTCGTTTTTCTATATGAATTATCTTCAACTCATATGTTTCCAATGCCAATAAAAAGTAACCCATCCAATGGTATTTAGCATCCAGAAAACTGCCAAATAAAATGCGTCCCAAGCAGAAATATCACAAGTACCGCCACGCCCGGGGCCGTCGCAAGGAAAACTATAACCGAAATCCTTTTTATCTGGCATTAACTTGGAACCACGCGCATCTAAAGCACCTTTTACTAAAATCAATGTAGTCGTATGTAAACCCAGAGCAATAGCATGATGAACCAAGAAATATACTTTCATTTTTCTATATGAATTGTCTTTAACTCATAAAGCATTCATTTAAAAATAAATGCTTTATGAGTTAAAGATAATTCATATGGAAAAATGAAAGTATATTTAATTAAATGATCAGAGCGAGAAGGTAATTAAATATAAAAAGTTTATTTTAGAAATTAATAATAATTAAATAATAAATTGGAAGATTAGTGATAATTGACACATTAATAATAAAGAATAAAAATTTCATAAAAAGTAAATTTTAAATACAATAATAAAGACAATAATATTTAAATATATATGTATATATAGAGAGAATGAATATTTTAAAAATTCAATTCTGCTTAGTGAATTAACTAATTAATTAGAGAGAGTTTGAGCAATTATTAATTCAAATTTTAATAATAAAATATTTATATAGGTGCCAGGCTGACGATAGCAAAGTGATAATTAAGGTGGATTATCGTGGCATCAGATTATAAGGTGAGTACTCATGTATTTTAATTATAGTAATTATTTTGTTCTCTCTTAAATTAAATGCATTGAAAGATAGTGGTCTATGCTTATTAAGTTTTATTGCAATCTAGATTATGATTTGTCATTTTTATTCCAATGATTGATCATATTGAAAGAAATAAAAATTAATATGTTATGATTTACACTTTTCGAAGAAAGTAAATGAATAATATATGAATGAAATGGTCTAGATATATATGCTTGCATGTGCATGTTGATGTTGACTGATGGAGCACATCCCTTATGTTACTGGCTGTGACGCAATATACCAGTGCACGTAAATAAAGATGGTTAAGGAAAAGAAAGAGAAAATTGAAAAGGAATAATTTCATTGATACTATTTTAAACGGTGGCTTTTGTGACGGTTGTATTATTTATGAGAATGAATAAACATATGATATATGCATAAGTGCATAACATTAGAAGTCTTGAAATGAAATGATTAAATATAATTTATTTATATTTTGAAATGATCATGCATATTATTCATAATGCCTTGGGTTATTATAATTTAAAAGCATGATTTATTCAGAGAGTTCTTTTATGACTCATTCCTAAATTTATAAATGAACAGGTATTATTCAAAGTTTAAAATGAGTAGAAAAGATAAAAATGTGTACCGTAGGTGAGGTGCTCCAAGTGAAAGGTACTTATATCTTTTATTTTAAATAATTTTGAGGATTTAGTGTCTCTTTCAATTTATTAGTGATAGATTTAGCAAATAAAAATTTAATCAATCGTCTGACCGTCTGTTCCAACCTTTTTAATTCGAGTATCTAGGCCGAGTCATGACAGATGCTATGTTCCCCTCTACTTCCTATGTCTCTACCCTTATTTCTAGCGAGGATTGGATTTTTCCTCAAATCTGCCCCTTACTGTTATAAATGGCGACGGACAACGATGGCGACCAGCGGGTGGTCGAAAGTAGGTGGTAGGCAGCAGCAACGGGGCGGAGGTGGCAATGGCTAGCAGGAAATGGTCAGGGTGGCCGGCGGGCTGCTATGGTGGTTGTGGCGCGGAGGGCTGCGGGTGGCGGCAGCGAGTGGCGGTCAAGCAAGCTTGTGGTGTAAACGGTTTTCACTCAAAATCAGAGAAGTTTGCTTTACACTCAAAATAAACTACTTCACTTTACATTACATTTACTATACTTTGCATCATTTTGTATTCCAAGCAAACAAAAAAATTTATAAAACCCCTACATTTGGAATACTTTACACCCTAAAATAATCCAACCAAAGAAAAAGTTCAATGCAAATATGTTACTTCTTCACACAAACTAAGAGCTTGAGGATCACAAGATTACAAATCTAAATGTGCTTCAGAATTCTTTGATCTTAACACTAAATAATCTGCATGTAAGATACTCTTTTTTCCATTAATTGAATTAACTCCTTTTTTTTTTTAAGTTTCTTGGAAAAAAATAGAGGGGTGCCCTTGTCCATACTCAACGTGAGGGTCCTTTTACCTTTTAATTAATAAGTTAAAACTATTTCTCCATCGATTTGTAGGCAAAGGAGTGCTTTAGATAGAAGAATCCCAAGGCCATACACATGGATGTAGGCCGGTTCAAGTTGAAAAACTTAAAATCATTATGAAGTTATGATTTTTCCTTTTTCACAATATTTATTATGTGTTCCATGATTATTTATTTGTTTCTACATGATATTAAGAGAATGTGATTTGCATTTACCCCTGCTCCGTGCGAGCCCGGAAAAAAAAAAAGAAAAACAAGATGCAGATGAAAAAGAATACAATTAAGTCAAAAAGGGTAGAAATACATAAATAAAAACTAAAGAGCTTTATTATTATAATGAAATATAGAACTGATTTGCTAGGAATTGTATCAATCTTTTTATCAGAACCAAAGGGAATATCCACAAATAAGTCTTTCAACCTGAACTACATGACTAAAAAAAATTACCTGTCCTAACTTGATATCTCCCCGCTTTGGATTAAAAAGGATATGGATATTACCAATGACTACCCTTCTTGAATCAATTTTCTGCTTACCTGTCTACAACAACACAGGATTGAACTAAATGTGATTATTCTGCTTAAATATAAAGGGCAAGAAATACTAAGCCTCTAAAATTCATGTCAAGTGCAAATGACAACATTTTTGCAAGCATAAAAGTAAATTTTGAATCTTCTCCATAAGTTAATTTTACAGGGAAAAAAAAAACTATGGACTATATTGCATTGTTGTGTTATGTAGAGGTGCATTATGCTAGTGATGAGTAAACTGAATAATTTTTTGGAAAAAACTGTCATGGCACCAATATGCGTGACTAAATAATTGAAATAAACATTATTATAATATCTTAAACTAATTATAAATAATAAATGAATTAAAAATGAATTTATTTACTAAATAGAACAATTAAATTTCATGAAAGTGCTTTTTTGAAAAGCCATCCAAAGGTCCATTTGGGGCAATCATTTACTAGTTTGCTTTCAAGAAGCTGCCACTGTTCTATTTGGCTACAACTTTTTTGCTTCCTAGCAAAAATTTTTATGGTGAAAAACATATTTTTACAACTAGATCTGTAAGAGTGTGATAGCTATAAGATGAAAGTTGTCTGACTTTTTCAAAAGAAAAAAAACTATAATAACTGTTTTAAAAAATATATTTTCCCCTCAGCCATTGGACAACTACTTTTAGCAACTGTTGCAACCACCCTAACTGAATCCTAAACAAGGATTCCAATAGTAATATGAAAGTTGTATTTCAGTTTTCATATAGCTAAATTATTTTCTCATGACAAAAAATCAAATGCCTTAAAATTGCTTAAGTTGTTCAAGGAAGCAAAAACGAAAAAACAAAAAAATATTATTAAAAGGACCCTAGACAGTTCTATTCAAGGATAAGCGAGTCTGCTTTAAATAATATTTTGTTTTCCTATAAAACAGCCACAGAAAAATTCAATGAAATATAACACCCTAGTTACATAGTATGTAAATTAAGACAGCAAATTGGCACGATATGGTGTTAAAGACCAAAGTAAAGTCAAAATAAGAAACTGAAGCTAGAAATAAGGGAAGAAAGTAAAATTATAGGAATCAAGGTAAGGGTTATAATGCTATATAGAACAGAATAACCATAACCCAAGATCTTCTACAAAGTGGGCCTCGAATTTGAATTTTATTCGCAACTAAAAAAAATATCAGTTAGATACTCATTTCATCAGTGGAAGAACTTAAAATTATCTTTCCAGTCAAAGGACCAACAACATTGTCATTAGCTATATCAACATTATTTTGAGTGTGCTTCATGAATCCAATTCCTATACTAATGGCAGTTAAAATATGCATTTAGAATTAATACTAGTTTAGCTAAATTCTCAAAATGAGCACCAAAGGGGCATGAATACAAAGACATTCAACTTGACAAATACATATATTCACATCAGATAGTAAGCTTGTCTTATTAGTGTAGTTCTTTCTAGGTTATCATGTCATAACTTCCATCAAATTTTCTTATCAGCATCTAATTTTATTTGGAGTTGGCTTAATTTATCATTCTTCACCGATGATTATTCGTAAATGCATTTTTGTGGAGTATAATTTAGCAGTATTTGACAGTAAGAACTAGGTTTTAAAAGTTTACTTGATAAAGCAAAGAAGTGATTTTCTATTTAAAAATATCAGTGTTAGCTGCTAAAATATGTTTGATTAATTCAAGAAAACAAAGCATTCGCTAGATTATGTACATTTATCCAAGTTATTAATTATCTATTTGAACTGAAATCTCTAAAATAATCAACAATAACTATGAGATTACAACTAATTGAATAGAAAGGCAAAGATAATTTCAAGTTTTGGCTCACTTACGAAAAAAAATAGATGTTATTAATAATAACATATTCACCCAAAAGTCATGGGATGCACAATGATTAATATCAGGTAAAGTTTCCACTGGCAATATATGCCACAGATAATGTTTCAACATGCAAGACATGCCGGTTTCATCATCATTATGTATAAATTATGATGTACTTAACAGATAAAAATGGAACTTGGACGAACTTGTAGTATTTAATTATGTTGTAGTTAATCATTCATTTATTGGACTCAACGTTGGAGCTCTGGCAGTTAAGAATCAATCTGTTGAGCAATATCTCAAGCCCAATTGATCATAACGCAATCAATCATTAAGTGAAAATATATTGCATTTACTGTAAACTAATTAATTGTTTATAATTCTTTTAGTTAACAAGAGTAGGTACCACTAATTTCATTAATTAAAGCTGACAACTTAAGAGCATTTGCTTCAATATCCATGAAGCCGAAGTGTGCAGCTTATGATAAAGACACATTGCTTTATTGGGGCAGGTACCACGAGTTTATATATATCCCACTGACAAGGCCATCTACAAAGCACTACAATATATCTGAATCACGTCTTCCTTATGTTTAAGGAATCTCATCCTTGGATGGTATAAAAAGAATAATTTGATTAGATGAATTGAATATGTATGGTGGATTCAATCCACTGCCTTAGTATGTTCTAAAAAACATTTATTTGAAAAATGTTTCAGCTAAAGCTTACAAGATCTCAAAGAGATCTAACAAAGACATCAATTGACATTTTCAACTGTATGTATAATGTCTATTTAAAATAAAATTATTTTCACAAGGGACCCGATCGCTCAGTTAAATATATGAAAAAGAAATGAACATTGAACAGATAAAAATTCTTCCACAACATGCTTGGTGCTAGGCACATCCATATTTACCTCAAAAACAAGCAGTTGAGCTACATTATCACGAAGACCAAGAGATTTGAACTCAATTTCACGCCCCTCAAGTAAGCGAAACCTGAAAAGCAATTTGAAGCTCTAATTCTCAGCTACGAAAGGCACAGCAAACAAGATTATAGAATCATAAGGGATACCTTCTACTTTTCCAAAATATAGCACATCCATCCTTGGCATCTCCGGTGCGGCGCTACAAATATTTCATGCCCATTCCATAAATTACAGACACAAGTCAAATCCAACTCCAGCTAAGAAATGCACTACCTTGTATCTACCAATATATCCATCCTTCTTCATGTTAGTCTCAAGTTCATAATATCTATCCACTTCCTGAAATAATGCAGCATGTGCAGCCAAGAACAATTAAATCCCAGAAAAATAGGACCATAAAGAACAGATGGAGTTTAGAAATATGCTTGCCTGCAGGCATACTATATCAGCCTTCCATCTTCTAATTTCCTCACAAATGAGCCGTTTCCTTGACTCCCATTGCATAGCATCAAAAGGAACATTCATATAAAGGTCAGGATGTTCCAAAGAATTATTGACACCCAGGATGTTATAAGACATCAGCATGAACCTATCTGTCAATAAATCATTGAGTGCGGGAGTGAACATTTGAACAATAAATGGTGAGCCAATTACTCAAAACATGTATAATTAATTTATTAGCCCCAACAAAGAAAGCCTTGTTCTACTCCGTCACCAATGCTAGTACAAAAAACTACCAACCCTCACCTTTTTTTTCTTAGGGCATCTCCAACCGAAAATCTCATTTTCACTCCAAAATGCAAAAACTCAAAAATGTCGTGATTCATCTCCAATCGAACTCCATTTAAGCGCTTATGCGAAGGTAACTGTCTTCTCTTCTTTCGCGTGTTTCTTTGGCAAATCAGGTTGAGACAAAAAAATCACATAGGCGAATAGTGCAACACCAATATTGACGTCGCACTGTTCACTCGCAAGCAAATAGCGAAAGATTTGACGTTCGGCTGGAGCGACCGAACGACGTCATACGCATGTTTGGCATTCGGTTGGAGATGCCCCTACTCAATGCTTTCACATAAAGTTCTCCAAAACAAGGCAAAATCAGTATTTGACTGCATCCAAGTCGGCCTTATTGGAAAGTTGTTAAAACCATATATCATCCTCTAACATTTCCATCATTAATCTCATTAAAAGATTGTTAGTGACAACTTTTTTGTTCTGTTGAATGAGTAATTTTAGATTATCATCAACTTTTCCTGCCTGAAAATACCCTATTTAATTCAAGCAGATCCAGATGAACTCCTCAGTCCAAATTTTCATGACTAACAATCGTAAAGATCGAAACTTTCTATCTTTGTAATAAAAACATAATAAAAGCTCCTTTAAAGACCACAGTCTTAATTTTATTGCTAAAGAAAACCTTTTGGGGCTATTGGGGAAAAGTTAGGCATAATATCTGCCGACTAAAAGAGTTGAAGTTGAACCACAGCAAACCTACGTTTTCATTTGAGACTGCTTATAATTTTTTGCTTATTGCTTTCTAAATAAATTTTTAATAATATATACTTTGTGAGATATAGCTTATATTCAGTTATTCCAAAAATAGCTTATTTTTTAAACAAAATTTAGGAAAAAAACTGATAAAAACTATCAAATTTTCTCATCCAACGGCTCTTGACATTTTTCTTGGCTGTTATTCCTATAGAAAAAGGGATATAAAAGCCACCATCTCCAAATTCCGCATAAGCCAGCTAACATGTCAATTGGTTGAATTCCAAGCAATCGCCTTTGTATAAAACTAAACGCCAAGTACACTAACCCAAAGAATCAACTAAGATTTTACCTTCTCCGGAATCAAGCAAGGCGGAGCAGTTCTCAGCTTCGAGCCAACGGCGGTAGGTCAGCGGACGACGCCTCTTTGGATTATACCAGTGACGATCCCTGGGCTCAACGGAGTCCCCATCACTAGCAAGTTCGCATCGAGTAGTCCGTTTCCGGCAACGGACAGCCGCCGTCGAAAACAACGTTGAGCCGCCGCCAAGACAGTAGGCGTCACAACCCATCGCTGCAGAGCGGAAGGATCGTCGAGCTCGTGCCGGCGCAAAGATAGTCACGGGCAGGCCGGCCCGCCCATTCTGATTGATCTGATCTAACAATTAATTAAATTTGAGGAAAATTTTGAAATCTGATAGAAGTTGACCTAACTAGGTTTTCCCCGATTGCGTAATCCATTGAACTTAGATGCAAACAAGACCGGATTCAGAATTTGTGTTAGGATCAAAATCCAAATTCAAGACAAAATATTTGAGCCAATTATTGAGTCGATCGGGTTCGGGTAAACCATGGCATTTTCTTGATTGAAACGGCCTAAGTTTTATTTGGGATAGCTTTTGATCTTTATTTTTTTTCGTTGCTTTCAAAAAAAAATTGTATTAAAAATTTGTTATAGAAAATTGTATGAAACGAAGTCATAGACCCATGCTTATTTGACTCACCAAACTCACAAGCCTAGGCCTATCGAGAAGTTGGGTTTAAATCGGGTTAGTCACTCATCATTAGAGGTGCTAATGAGTCGAGTCGAGCTTAAAAGATGAGCTCGAGCTCAGTTCCTGAAAACAAAAATGAGCCCGCTAACAACTCATAAGATCTTGATAAAAGCAAACAAGAAGGCAAGAAGGTTTGCCGTACGAGAAGAAGAAATTGAGCTATTACATGAAAAGAAGAAGTTGATTTATTTCTTCTTGGGAACTACTGCAATTTTATTATTGCAAGGTTTCTTGTCAGCTTTTTTAAATGTTAGTTGTAGTAGAAAAAAAGTTATATTTTTAAGTAAAAAATCTCTACTAATTATGGGTGTCAAAATTTGACACGACCTAAAATCCGACTCGAACCTGACCTGAAAAATTTTGTGGTTTGGGTCAATCAATTTGACATACGGGTCGGGTACGGGATTAGTAATTCGACACGATTAAAAATCCGGGTCGGGATTTGACCCGAAAAATCGAAAACGACCTGGAAAGTCGCTCACCAAGTCACCTACTAGTTTGCCTTGATGGCCCGACCGTCGTCGCTTGCCTGCTTGCTGCCTTAATCTCATCGAGTACGTCTCCATTAGTTGTTGCGATGAAGGAAGCTGATGTGGATTTGGCCACTGCCTTCCAGCATGTGGCCTCAGCCTGTCTCCGTCTTTGTCGACTTTGGTACGAACTTGATCTGAAAAATTTTGGGGTTTGGGTCAATCAGTTTGACATACGGGTCGGGTACGGGATCAGTAATCCGACACAATTAAAAATTCGGGACGGGTCTGGGTTTGACCCGAAAAATCGAAAACGACCTGGAAAGTCGCTCACCAAGTCACCTACTAGTTTGCCTTGATGGCCCGACCGTCGTCGCTTGCCTGCTTGCTGCCTTAATCTCATCGAGTACGTCTCCATTAGTTGTTGCGATGAAGGAAGCTGATGTGGATTTGGCCACTGCCTTCCAGCATGTGGCCTCAGCCTGTCTCCGTCTTTGTCGACTTTGGTACGTGACTGAAGCGAGCAACGCCGACGGGATTCGGCGAGGACAAAGTGGGCGCAAGCGAAGGTGAAGTTAGAGAGGGATAGAGAGGAGATGAGAGAGAGATGGCCACATCGGAAAGCGACAAGGAGGCTTCTGTCGTCGTAATAGTAGACACAAGGCTCGACCTCATCGCTCACCGCGTCGCCTGTCGTCGCACTCACCCATGTTTGAATCAAAATTGGTACGTGAGTCGGGTTGGGTCAACCCAGTAACCTGCACAGGTCGGGTCCAGTTGAAATACCTAACTCATTTAGACCCGGGTCAATTTAGGTTAGACCTGAGCCTGACCCGCCAACCAATTTTGACACCCCTAGGCATATTCAAGTTGAAACTTATCGAAATTAAATTTGGGATCATCTGAATTCCAATTTCAACAAACTTATAGTCAAATTGAACATCTCAAAGAGACAAACCAAACAACACCAAAATTGGTCCAACCCAAGCCCAAATGGGTCCAAATCGGGGGCCCGGACCACATTTGGAAGGGTTAAAGCATTATTTGGATACTGAAATGATTTCCAAATATGGCATGCTTATAGTCAAATCGAGCGTCTCGGCGAGACGAATCCAACGAGCCCAAGATCTCTGAATTCCGACACTGTTAAGGCACTTAAACAGTTG